AGAGATCACCAACCAACGAGGGAGCCCGGCGCTGGAAAAAGGTAAGCTGCTCAAGGGGTTTTAACCCCTTCAGCGCCAAGAGAGGGGAACGCTTAGTTTTCCTAACATTATAGTGATCCTTTAATGTATATTAGACACCTCCACTCTCACTACAGCAAAGTGCCTTAGGAACCAGTTTAGGCCTGGCTTCCTACCAGTGCTCTTAATGAATTTAACAAAGGCAGCTGCAGCACCGGCTGTGGCTACGCTGCACAGAACTGAAAGCTAAGAGGTCTGGGTGCTTTGCGCACTGTGCATCTTAGCTCACCCCTGCTTGTTACATCCAATTTGTGACAAAAGAACCGACCCCTACTGACAGAGGTGAGCTTCAGGTTTTTATTGATGCGTGGGTCTATTTAACCCTGCTCTCACCATATTGAATCACATTCAGTGACTACCTAAGGGCATTAAAGCCATCATTTCCAAAAGCTAAAGTTTTAGTGGACCGCGGTGACTCTGCAATCCGCTTTAGAGTTCCAGGCCGATTCAGAGTTGCTCTCGGTCAGGTGTACTATGTCTCAGTGGTCCCCCTGGTGAAAGATAGGCCGTTCTGGGCAGCCAGGAAGGGGCACTGGGCTGGGAGACATGGGCTGGGGTTAGTTCATAGTGTTATAGTCCTTTTATTGGAGGTCCGAGGAAACATGTATCCGGCTTAGGTGACCAGAGGATCCGTCACACCCGGATCGTAGGTTCCAGTGAAAGTCCTTCATTAGTGCTATTTGCAATTCAAATCGCGGGTGCTCCTGTTTCAGCTCTTACAACTCTGCTGCCAAGTCTTGATAATGTCCTTTTGATGACTCTGCATCATTTCCCACCACCCTCCAATACATTAACCTACCTAACAATGGAAAAGTCTTCAAATCCACAAGCAAGGTTTTAATATCTGCTTTACTCACTGGGATCATTTTTTTTTGTCAATTTGTCGCATCAGTCTGAACTAGCCCTAGTGTTTTTTTCTGGACACTGGACCCTTGTATGGCCTGCAGGGATTTGCCCGCCAATGACTCCTGAGATGACCTCGCATGAGATTGATTCTGCGAGTTGCTTTCCACTCGTGGGGTACAGGTAATAGGCTCTCTATCAGCTATGCCTGGCCATGTCACTTCTCACTGACAGGGATTCTCTGGTTCCTCCATGGAGCTCATTTCTGAATACTCAGTTGAAGGCTCCCTCAGTTTTGCCATCTTATTTACATGCGTTCTGGGTGCCAGATGAAGTAAGTCATCTATATGTTTATTCTTTGTATAAGAAACTCTCGCTGATTTTGATTTGTGTCCCATGTCCGCACAATGTCCTGGGAACAATTTTAAACCCCTAAAAATCAGCAATGGTGGGGTTGATAGCTCATACATGTAGGTTCTCAACAGAGTTTAAGTAAAATACATCTCTTCCAGTCAGTCACTAGCTCTAGCACCCTATGTTTTATTTTAAATAGAAACGTAATGTGGTACTTCATCACTAAAAGAAGCACCAGCATGAATGTATAGAAATTTAAGAACATGGATATTTTTACAGAGCTGACTAGCGTGTTGCCATCCAGCCGACAACACTTGGTCATGCACAGAGCACATTCTACATGTGTTGTTATACATCCATAAGCACTCTCAATGATGTGCTCAGTCTTGATTTGGCACACAGCTGGGTGGTATATTAAAATATGTATGTAAACCCCTTTTTGTTAAATGCATCATCATGGTTTGGTATTTAATGAGACAATCATCTCTTTCTGTGATTCTTTACCATACACAATGAACTAATCTAGTTCACCACCAGAGGGCACTATAGGGTTACATAATGCGGTCTTACATGTATCAGGGTACTGCATGTTTAGAAATACAATCATATTTTGCTTTTTTATAGGGCTCTATTTACTGAAAAACAAACTATGGTGAGATAAATAACATATTTGTAGGATGGTACTAAAATAAAATGAAAATTATTGGAAATATTCTTAGTTCTATAACCTAGGCCTTAATTTAATATTGTTGGATACATTTTTTTAAATGATTTAATATTGATCCATAGAAAGATATATTTTCCATATATTATATATTTTTTGATATTTTAATATTTTGAAAAATATATTTTAAAAGTTTATAAAAACAAAAACAAAATCATTTCAAAACGCTTATGTAACAACATCAAATCGAGGCCATAGCTTGGCCTCCATTTTGAAAATTAGTTTTTATCATTCAGAGCTTGCATTTAGTAAATAAAGCTTTTAGCTAATGGAGACAGCTCCACTGATGAACCCTCCTTGTCCCCTAAACCACCCCCTAACATTATTTACCAAATGCCAAACTGCACCAATCTGAAACTCAAACTGCTAAATTCAGGCAAAAATAGCCAACTATTTGTATACATACCTCTATAAGTGTTACATAAAGGTATGCAGTGAAGGGTACTCTGCCACAGAGGCAAACTGGGCAGTGTCTCCCCACCTTGGTTTTTGCTTAAAAATTAAATAACGAAATAAAAATAAAATCTGTTGCCGTGGTAAGGATTAATGAAAAACGTGTCACAAAAAAAGTTGTATTCTTTTCTGTTATGCAATTTTGTTCCCTCACACTGATGACTGGAGATGCTGCTAAAGCACTGGAAAGATTATTCAGTAAAGTATTGTCAGGAATTCAGAGGGAATTTACATTTAAAGGACCACTCTAGGCACCCAGACCACTTCAGCTTAATGAAGTGGTCTGGGTGCCAGGTCCAGCTAGGGTTAGGGTTCCAGCAGAGAAACTGCTATGTTTATGTTAGGGTTAATCAGCCTCCAGTAGCTGTCTCTTGACAGCCGCTAGAGGCGCTTGCGTGCTTCTCACTGTGATTTTCACAGTGAGAAGACGCCAGCGTCCATAGGAAAGCATTGTGAATGCTTTCCTATGGACTGGCTGAATGCGCACGTGGCTCCTGCCGCGCATGCGCATTCAGCCGAAGAGGAGGAGAAGAGGGAGGAGAGGAGGAGGCGAGCTCCCCGCCCGGCGCTGGACAAAAGTAGCCAAATCAGAGAATTTTTCTAGTCTAGCTATTTTGGTCCTAAATGAAAAGTTTACTTTGAATTCATTTTGAATCGCTGATAATTATCACTTTAGTAAATAATCAAGTAAGTATCTAGTCATATCGATATTTTAAAGCATTATTGAAAAAAAAAAGCTATGGTCTTTTAAATTTTGCAAGAGTAAATATATATATCTGTATATATTATGTCATGTAATATTCTACTTATTATCAAGATTTGCTATAACTTCTGTTCTATGGTATAATAATTTTGAATTTGATGAAGACCGTTAACACCAGTAACACCAATATTAACATAAAGTGCATTTTAGTACTGCATTATCTATTAAAACCACTAGGTGGCAGTGCAAAACCAAATACGGTATCTCCTCTCACAACTTGTGATGCTGTAATGTAATTAGGGTTCATTAACTTAACAGTGAACTCTAGTGAATTGAAAAACTAATTGGAAAATTCATGGTAAAATAGCCAAGCTTTAATTATAACTAAGCTGGAGAATTTTTACAAAGCAGCAGTTTTTGCTTAAAGTAAGTCTTTCATAGTGATAAGTGATAGATTTGATTGTCCCTCTCTGGAAACACTTCCCTAAGCAGGGCAATCATCATTGTGGATGCTGACACGGACGGCACAGTGGCATCAACGTATCCTATAATCCCCCAGCAACAGTGAGAAATGCCTGTTACTATTTATGTGCAGTGACGTCTCCAGGATTCATACTTGGGGGGGACACATAAGGGGCCAGGGACAAAAGAAGGGGGGCAGCTATAAAACATGTGTGTGTGTGTGTGTATATATATATATATATATATATATATTCACATACATACACAGGGCTCAACAAATTCCAGGCGCCAGGTCGCCATGGCGACTAGACATTTTGCCGTGGCGCCTGGCATTTGTCAGCCCTTTGCTAAACCGCGCAGGAAACATTAGACCCGGCGAGCCTTTAGGCGGCACGTAAGGGGGCAGTAACCTTCCTGCAGTTCCTCTCTGCTCCCATTGCACGCTGTTTAGTGACATGACGTCACTCCACCCCAGGCATCACTACAGAGAGCGCGCAGAGGCGCAGAGAGAAACTCCATGAAGACTGAGAGACACACTGGATGCCAGGGACAGAGCAACTCAGCTCTCCCAAAGGCTGGGTGGATTTAAATGAAAAGAAAAATGGCAATTTGTGAATGTGTGAGAAAATGTGTGTGTGTGTGTGTGTGCGCGCGCTGAAAGGGCCTGTAAATTGTGTGCATGTGCATCTAGGGCCTGCATTGTGAGTATATGTGTATTGGGGTTGCATTGTGTGCTTATCAAGGAGCTGTAGTTATATATATATAGCTCAAGGCTGTCATTAGTACTAGTCTGTGGTATCACTTCTGTACACTCTTTACTGCCGACATGTGAGTGTGTCCTTGGAATACCAGGTGTGTCTGGCTTGTCAACTGGATATTGAGAATTGGGCTTCTCGACCACTCGCAGATCCACACGATTGCATCGGTAGTGAGTTCCTTCGATATCCACAAGATAAGAGCGTTGTGCAATCTTTTGCAGACAGGTTCCCATTCTCCAGCGACCTGTTCGATCTCCAGGAAGCGGTTTTATACAAATTTGTTCCCCAATATTCAGTTCAGGTAAATCCCTAGCAGATGAGTCATATCTAGCCTTGAACACTTGCCTCTTAAGTCGTAACTTTTCTGGTACACCTTGTATCACAGAGGGTTCAAGTAGCTTGTTGGCCAAACCGGCAACATGGACTTGGCGTCTGAATGAATCCTTGCTACAGGACCCCGAGGTGGAAAGTGAAATCACACGAGCCCTTGACCTGAACTTCAAAGAAAATGATGTGTCAGACACCTCTCCAATTGTACTCTGGGAAGCTCACAAGAGTACCATCCGCGGCATACTTATAAAAATAGCCTCCCGCCAAAGGAAGGCAACCATGCAGGAAATGACAGACCTATATGGAACTATTTCGAAGCTGGAACTCCAACACAAACAAACCCAACTTGCCAATATCCGACAAAACCTGACAGATGCCCGGTGCAGATTGAAAGATCTTCTCACGAAACGATACTACCACTCACTACAACACTCCAAGAACTTTTTCTATATCCATGCTAACAAAGGAGGCAAATACCTCGCCCGCATCCTGAAAGGTGATGTCCCCCGCACACGGATACATAAAATACGTCTACAATCAGGGAAAGTGTCCCAATTTCCTGAGGACATCGCCAATGAATTCCAACGATATTACCACGCCCTGTATAATCTGTCTGGCCCTGAAGACACGCCGGTGGGACACCACGCCAACACACTTATTCAAGACTACCTACATGACAACGTAGGAAGACGTGTATCCCTGGAAGCGGCGAATACGCTGGATGAACCAATTAGCATTGAGGAAATGGCCGCAGCCTTGAAGAGTGCTAAGGCGGGCAAGGCACCGGGACTGGATGGATTTTCCATAGGTTATTAAAAACGCTTTTCCTCAACCCTCCTACCTCGACTAACTACAGCGGTCAACACCATCACCGGGGGAAAAAGATTCGGAGCGGAATCACTAGCCGCCACTATCACGGTCCTGCTTAAACCAGGGAAAGACCTGGAACATTGCAGCAGTTACCGACCAATATCCTTACTAAACGTGGATACGAAACTGCTTACGAAGGTACTGGCAACTAGGCTACAACGTGTACTGCCAAGCCTGATCCATGCAGACCAGACGGGGTTTATACCGGGGAGGGAGGCACGGGACAGTACACTGCGCCTCTTCTCCATACAACACAGGGCACGGGACAAGATCTTACTCCTTTCCACGGACGCCGAAAAGGCTTTCGACCGTGTTAATTGGTCATACATGATGGACACTCTATGGGCCATGGGACTAGGACAGAACATGTTGACATATTGCCTTGTATGATAAACCACACGCAACTATCCGGGTGAACGGGGCCCTTACCTCCGGCTTCGAAATCCATAATGGAACTAGACAGGGATGCCCCATGTCGCCACTCCTATTCGCGATGACCCTGGAACCACTATTACGATCCGCCATAACCCAGACATCTCGGGATACAATTGGAGGGGAACGGAGCACAAGGTGGCCGCATATGCGGACGACCTTCTCTTCTTTATCTCTAATTCACGGGTCACGATGCCCTGCTTACTCCTAGAATTCGAAAAATTCGGGAAAATCGCGGGATTCAAACTTAATCTTTCAAAATGTGAAGTGCTCAACCTAACCTTTCCACCGGAAGAATACCTGGAACTGGGAACAGTCTTTCCATTTCGCTGGTGCACAGAGAAAATGAAATATCTTGGCGTATGGATCACCACAAATCCGCAGGAGCTTTATCGACATAACTTTGCCACCATCCTACGACAGGTAACCTCAGACCTCGACAGATGGGCATACCCACACATCACCTGGCACGGACGAATCGCAGTACTCAAGATGAACGTGCTCCCAATAATTCTCTACCTATTTCAAACCATACCCGTGGCACCACCGACAACCTTCTTCTCCACCATGAAATCGGCGGTAATCAGATATGTCTGGAGAGGGGAGAGGTCTAGACTGCGCCACGACATACTTTGCCTACCTAGACTTGGGGGTGGCCTGGCGCTCCCGGACTTCAAAAGATACTATCAAGCCGCCACACTTCAACGAATCCTGGAGTGGCACGCGGCTGATTCCCCAAAACAATGGGTCGTTCTGGACGGAGGGGACTCGCGGGCCACACTTAAAGCGGCGGTATGGCAAGGGGGAACGGGATGTCGCGATGGCGAAGGAACGGGGAACCCGACGACACAGACGCTAAAGACTTGGGCAACGCTACGGAAAACCACTCATGTGTCCCTAGTCCCCTGCTCCCCATAGTTCCCAACCCAAACTTGGCGGGAGGCATCTCGGCCAAGGCCTGGATATTTCTGGAGGAGAGGGACTACATCCCGATTCGAACGGTTCTCCAAGAGGGGGCAATCCGACCCCTACGCACATTAATGGCCGATAGACCTAATACGCCCATGGCGTCCCTTCGCTATCTGCAGCTAACACACTACTATAGATCCATCCCACGCAAGGAACACCTGCATAGAGACCTCACATGGTTTGAGGGTCTCTGCCAACGAGGAGCCACGCTCGATAAAGCAATCTCACTACTCTACCAACACCTGCTGATGGGAGCTATCACAACTAACAACACCTTCAGGAGACAATGGGAAGACCAAATGGGTGGACCGATATCACAACCACAGTGGGACGCAGCAATCTTATGGCAACACAAGAGTTCCTCCAGCTCCCACTATCAGGAAGTAAACTATAAACTGATATCCATGTGGTATAGAACACCAGTTGCACTACACAGGATTTTCCCAATGACGTCCCCAACATGTTGGAGATGTCAGGAGGAGAGAGGAACGATTATACACCTATGGTGGGTCTGTAGGCTCATTACCCCATATTGGGAACGAATCTGGTCTGAAATCAAGGAGATACTAGGGGAGGACATGGAATGGTCCAAGGAATTGGTCCTCTTGCACATCACCTCACGATCCATCTCTGGATATAAGAAGTCCATGCTACGTCACCTACTGAATGCAGCCAAAGCCCTTATCCCTGAATACTGGAAGCGAACTGAGGCCCCCACGGTTGAAGAATGGCTAAACAGGGTCGGAGACATACAGTTGGCGGAAGCACTACAGGCATCCTTGACGGGTCGGGGGACCAGGCATGTGGAGATGTGGCAACCATGGTTCGTATACCAGGCTAGAGGGCACTGAACATCTCGTAGGGGGGGAGGGGGAGACGGTGGACAGAGAGACAGATCACGCCCCTACTCCACCAAAGCTCTGGGGGTTGGGACTGGAGGTAGACGAAACCCAGGGCAGACGAAACCAACATCGGCCCACTGACCCGACCCTCCCACACACATTTCGAAACACCGAAAACACATGACCCAACCGAGACTTCCCTTCTCTCACATGACTATGACCCTTGTGCGCCCACGGGGTGCGCAGTGGGGACACGGGGGGGGGAGGGGGAAATCTGCTAGGACCACTACTCTCCTCTCTCACTTTCCGACTTTCTTTCCCACGCTAACCCCTCTTACATGTCTAACGCACAACACACAAAACTAGGGGACGGGAGGGGGGGGAAAGCCAAAAGCCAAAAAAAACAAAAAAGGAATAAATGATACTGGCACTATTATCGGTACATCGAAATGCGGGATGTGGGAACACACCCATGGGATAACTTAGCCTAACCTTAAGATCAAGGCACCTACGCTTCTCACACACGAGGAGCCGGACAAATGTGTCCAGCCTATTACTAGGCACTCCTGCTACAAGGTACACTGTGTCTTATGACTGCATCCGAATTAGAGCTACGCTTTGTGTTAAAAGGCTGCTTACAAGCACTAAGAATGTCACATGTTATATATATGTACGTATACCAAAACTACCACGGTTGTCACTCTACACACTTTACCTTTCTGTTGTCTTATGTACGCCTACTGGTAATTACGAAACTTATCGCTGTAAATAAATCCCGACAGGAGACTTAGTTTTGTGGGCACAAAAATTGTGACTCAAAATATAGAAGAACCACTACAATACTCTTGTCTTCTAAGTAGGCCTGCGTGCCGAATTCTTTCTGTAAACCTCTTTCTTCTTAAATAAACAGATTTACAAAAAAAAAGTAGCTTGTTGGCTACTGGTAAGGAGGTCTTTAACTCCTTGACATCGGTCTCTGTGCCTGACTACTATCCATATCCTCTGTTGGAGTATTTCTCCAATGTAAGATGGCTTTCCATGGGTCTTTACCATCACTTTAGCTTTTTTTGCATAAATTCTTCACTATTTTCACAGCAGATTCAGCTTTGCCATTAGCTTGTGGATGACGTGGCGAAGAAGTCACATGCTCAAACTCCCATTCAGTAGCAAATTTCCTTGTATGTACGTAGTGGGCATTGGATAGCATTCCCTTCATCCCCCATAAAACCATAACTTACCCCTTCAAATAACGACAGACAACTTCTTGGAGAAAACAGGCCACAGCATTTATTAACACAACCAAATACTGTATGACTCCTTTAACATATCACAAAATAATAAATATCATAAATTAACATAAACAATTTACATATAGTCATACAGTAACCAAATAAACCGTCCTTGCCAATCTAACTTCCCCAAGGCTCTCACCTCCCCCCCTCGGCATAATAAAAACATCTTCCTTTTCAGGGCTCCCCACCAACTTGGTGGGGCCCAACCATAATGCTCCCCACTGGTTGACATACAACCCAGTGGGGACACGTCCAACCTGGTACCTCCTCCAGGTTCACCATAAGAGACAGGGGGAGGATGAGACCCGGCCATTATCCCCCTTTTTCATCTAATCTACCAAACCATCCCTTATTTGGCAAGGACACACCCCTGCCTCGCTGTGACAACCCCCCCGGGCCCAAAGCAGCAAAGGGAGGGTGGGTGGGAAACTTGTTGCTGGCCCGGCTCCTAAGTGGCACTGAGGTCAGTCTGATCTGTCACCACCCACTTCCTCACATCTCACATCTCACACTCTCACATGTAGCAAATAGCCAATCATGCATCATCCATCCCACACTCATACATGTGCCCCTGTCCGCTAAGCTGCGCACTCTCCCTTGGGCCTTGTATGTACGTAGTGGGCATTGGATAGCATTCCCTTCATCCCCCATAAAACCATAACTTACCCCTTCAAATAACGACAGACAACTTCTTGGAGAAGACAGACCACAGCATTTATTAACACAACCAAATACTGTATGACTCCTTTAACATATAACAAAATAATAAATATCATAAATTAACATAAACAATTTGCATATAGTCATACAGTAACCAAATAAACTGTCCTTGCCAATCTAACTTCCCCAAGGCTCTCACCTCCCCCCCTCGGCATAATAAAAACATCTTCCTTTTCAGAGCTCCCCACCAACTCGGTGGGGCCCAACCATAATGCTCCCCACTGGTCGACATACAACCCAGTGGGGACACGTCCAACCTGGTACCTCCTCCAGGTTCACCATAGGAGACAGGGGGAGGATGAGACCCGGCCATTATCCCCCCTTTTCATTTAATCTACCAAACCATCCCTTATTTGGCAAGGACTCCCCCCCGCCACAACCCCGCTGTTTTAAGCCTAAAATCAGCGGTGGACCCCAAACAAACCAACCATGACCTGTTCCACTGTCTCGAGAATGGCCAGATTAAAATGGTAGAGCCCGACCTCAGTCAAATGAACCCCATCCGGCCGCAACAAATCTGCCGCCTACTTCTCAAAACCTGATGAAATGGGCATCTCCCAAACCCCTATAACGAACCGCGAAACCCAGCGGTTGAACCCTTCGCAGCAGCGCTCCCACGCACTCCAGATGTGTGCTTGCAGCCAATAGTTCCTCGCCACAACCTCCGACCACACCATGCAAAAAACCCCCGGAAATGACATAAGGATCTGGGACAAGTCCCACTACCCTATGTCCACCAGTATCCGAGCGGCACCATCCCCAGGTCAGTACCCCCCCAGGGGGAATGACCAGAACCAATGACACCCCTCCCTCGCAAGCAAGAGAACCAGACCACTTCAGGGAGGAGCCAGACCCACTTCATGTCCCCCCGGCGCTGAACCACCGAACCTCCACCGTCGAGTGCTCAATTATCCGCCCTGAGAAGGAAAAAACAATCAACGGAGCAAACCAGCGTCTCCTAGAGTTCCACCTTCCTATCCTCCGCACATCCCGATTCAGCATACCCAGCTGAGAGGCCTCTGTCACAGCGCCAATGTGGAAAGAATGACAAATTGAAAATAGGAGAGGAAGTTTACCTCGTATACCATGATCGGGCCAGCCAGGTACGGCTGTACTGCGGACTCCCTGAGCGCCCAGACCAGACAGGCGTCCAATCCTGGGACTGCCGGCAGCGGGACCCACCTGCCCTTGCAAAGGATGTCGGTCTTGTATGGACGAGTCTTGAAGAACACCTGGTCCTGACCATCCCGGACATCCGCAAACAGAATTCTCCCCTACCGGCTGACCAGTTTGAACCCACCAATACCCCAATCCTCATGGCCCCAAAGAAATGAAGAAATGGCGAGGCATACCTCTGGAAGCACCTGGCACAATTGTGCCCATAGGGCCCCCAAAACCGTCCTCTTTGGATCCACAGAAATCGACCCCTGCACGGGCCCTACACCGCATGCCATACCAGAAACTCTGTGGTGACCGCCACCCAACCCTGGGACTTAACCAGAAAACTAAACTGGACACGCGCAAGGACAACCCGGAGGGCGACATATCCGCCGAAACCCAACAATCCAGGAGTCACAACAGACCGTGTAACGAGCAGGCGTACCTGCAAATACACCCACCTCTGACTCCCGCGTCTGCTATTCCACCCATACCCTGGAGAACCTTGGCCCAAGAGGAACCGGACCTATACGACACATGAAGACACGGGCACCGGAGCACCAGGCGCTGGAGCAGGGGAAGTACCAAAAGAGAAAAGAGGGGACCAAGAGCTGGCTAATCGCCTGGACAACCCCAAGGTTGGCACGGTGAATAACAACCGACTGTCCTGTAGCTCCCGAGCCATAAATTCAATACCACCACAACGGGAAAGCTCCAGAAAGGCAAGATTCCTGGTCAAGCCGCCGACCATGTTAGCACACTAGCGCGATCCCAGAATCGCCCCAACCAGACAGAGCCAGCCGCGTCCGTATAGAGGGGCAAGTACGAACTGGACACCTCCGGCGCCTGCCAAGATGACCTTCCAATATACTCTCTCAGGAAGGATACCCAGACCCCAGGGCCGGATAAAATGCTGCGGACCCAGTAGTAGCGACCACCAGGCTCCTGCGGGACAATTGCCCCATGGGCCTGATCCGGCAGTGGAAGGTCAACCTCCCTAACAGGGACTGCAACTTGCACAGCTGCATCCTCCTCAGACCCCTGGCTATCGCCACACCCTCTCAACCTTATCCCGTGGCAGCCAGCACTCCATGGCCACAGAGTAAATTTTGATACCCAAGGAGCGAAGGCACGTCACTGGGCCCCACTGTCTTACTGTGCTCTAAGAGGAACCTAACGCTCCGCCTAGTCGAGCAAGAGTCGACAAGTCAGCGAAGGCCCACACACAAAAGCCATCAAGGTAACGCAGCAACGAGCCAATCCTTGCCTCCTGCCGCACCACCCACTCCAGGAAAGCGCGGACACACGCAACGTAAAAGCAGGACATGAACAACACATCGGGAAGCACGTATCCACATAATACCGACCACAAACCCACCACCCAGGAGTTGATGACAATCCATATAAACTGGCAACAAACGAAACGCGGCTCTGACGTCGGCCTTCGTTAGCAAAGCCCCAGGGCCCACTGCCCCAACCATGCGTACCGCAGCATCAAGGATGCCTAGGACGCCCGACATCTTTCACCGAAACCCCTTGATAGCAGGGCAAACGATGAATCAGACAAAAATCCCCTGCCTCCTACTAGGGCACCAGGCCCAAGGGGGACCTGCAACTTGAGGAAACTTGTGAAACCTTTGCCAATCCAATTTAAGACTATGTATTCTTATTGTGGAAGTTTTACTTCTTTTAAACATAGTCTCCTCCCTACTGCATTGATGCACTTTAAGTATTTCACGCCGGGCGCTCTGAGAAGGGGATCCCGAAGTCTCGGGTGACCCCCTCCAGCAGGGGCCCCATGGCCCGCCGATTCCAGTAGCGGTCGAGCCATGGGCGCTCTGCACCGCCACCCTGCACCCCCACGTGCCCTTTTTTCCCCGTACTTACCCCTCTGGAAACAGCAGGAGGCAGAGTGAGCCCCCACCACGATGGGAGCAGTTGAGCTTAAAACCCACCACACTTACATCGGCTGACATTCAACTCCCCCTAACAACCTGGCCGTTGCTGCGAGGCTGCTGGGGCGGAGCCGCCACCCCAGGAAAGGAGGACAAACCCCCTTTACGCGCCGCCGGGTGGATTACGATGGAGAGCCAGGGGCCAAAGTCCATCTGATCCCACGCTACAGAGGGCAAAACCGCGAGGCGCTGATGAAATGTTTTTCATAGCGCCACCAACCCAAGCCACCATTAGTATGACATGCATTCCAAGTGGTGTCCTGGTAACAAAACAGTGCCGTGGAGCCCTCTCCCCAACCACGTTCTCCAAAATAGCGAACCCCAAAGCCAAATCGCCAACGTCTTAGAAATTTCCCATAACGGAACTTTACATCATCGCTGCCCGAGTCCTACCCCCCCTTGTGCCCCAAGGGAAGATCATCCCCCCCAAGGGCCAAAAGGGGAATATCTTGCGCGACTGCGCAGGGGAGAGGGGGGCTCAGCCCCCAATGAGGAAGAGGCCCAACTCCCCTCCAATTGTCGTGCTGAGGACCGAGCGCACTGCCCCCCACCCACCGGGGGGTTAGGATGTAGAAAATTATTATTATTATGATATTTTATTTAATTTTGTTTTTTTAAATAAACCCAACATGAACCCGCCTAGCGCAGGCGCCCCAGCCAGCGCAGGAAAACATTACTCACCTGACGGCACCCCAGGAACTGCTGGCGGCACCAAAGAAGAGACAGCAGCTTGAAAAGAGGAGTCCATCACCTGCAGCGCAGTTCCCATGGGAACAGGATCCGGCAACTGCACCCAAAGCCTGAAGCAGCAGTGGAGAGATGAAGAGCCAACGCTCCAGGACAGAAGGCTGCCAAGACAGGTAAGGAGAGGGAGGGTGGGGGTTGGCAGAGGGGGGTGGAAGGGCAAAGAAGGTCAGCAAGGAGAAGGAGGGGGACAATAAAGAAAGGGGGGGCAATAAAGAAAAGGGGGGGGAACCATAAAAAGAAAGAGGAGGAACACAATAATAGAAGAGGGAGATACCACACAGAAAAGGGGGGGCCAATAACGAACAAGGGGGGGCAATAATAGATGGGAGAAACATTGGAGGGGGGAGGGGAGCCCGGGCAAAGGAAGGAGAGGAGGGCCGGGACAAGCAGACCCCCCCGGAGCCCATGAGGGGGATACAGAACCCCTCCCCACCCGGCGGCAGTGGCCGAGAGCCACCCCGCGTGCCCGGCAGGGGGCCCACTTACCACTGCTGGCCGAGAGTGGAGGACCCCGGGCGGCATCCCACACGCCGCCCGGGTCGATTGCCGAGCTTCCGCCCCCCCCCACTACCTCCAGGGGGGGCACGGCCCACAGCAGATGCCACCGCCCGTACACCAGGGGCGGCGGAAGGACCGGGCGCGGAGCAGGCCACCGTCTGCAGCAGCAGCAGCAGCACCAGCCCTGAGGGCAAACAGGATGGCTGTAACAACCAGGATCCAGCATACAGGGCCCCCAGGCAGAAAATCCAGCAAGCCCAGCAACAGGAGGATCACAGGAAACTTGTTGCTGGCCCGGCTCCTAAGTGGCACTGAGGTCAGTCTGATCTGTCACCACCCACTTCCTCACATCTCACACTCCCACATGTAGCATATAGCCAATCATGCATCATCCATCCCTCACTCATACATGTGCCCCTGTCCGCTAAGCTGCGCACTCTCCCTGTGGCCTGAACTGTAAGCATGCAAACTGAGGACCATTATCAGAAATCACTTTAGTTGGTTGGCCATGATGTGCACCTTGCATTGTTTAATTGTAGTTTCAGTGGACAGGTCAGGAACCAGTTCAATTTCCCAGAAGTCTGAGATTTACAAACCATTTTTTGCCCTTAGACTTTACAGCACCAATGCATTCCTTTGAGTAAATCACATCATTGCTAAGCAGAAGTGCATCCTCAGAATCAGACATGTGTTCAATTGTGTTTAGCTTCCTTGCTTCCTTACTTCTTGACAGACATACTCCAGTAAAATGATTTAGCCTACCACATGATCTACAGGTTTTCCCATATGCAGGACACTGTTCTTTCTCTCTTACATGTATACTGCCACAGTACTTACATGATGTAGACTTGCTCACAGGTGAGGTGCTTTAGCGATTATTGTGTTGATGCTTGTGCTGGTGGTTCTTCAAGCTTAGCTGTTGCTTGAAGGCTGCATGGATGCTGTCAGTCTGTTTATCCTGATCCAAACCTCTCATATGTTTGTCAGTAGGTTCTGCAGTGTGACATATATCAATTGCTGCATGTAGGTTTAAATCATGTTCCCTCAATAGCCGGCGGCGGGTACTTTCAGTATTAATACCTAGGACTAATTTGTCACGAATAAATTAATCTCTCAAGGAGCCATACTCACAGCTTGCAGCTTTTTCTCTCAGCCTTGTGATAAAGTTGTCTATTGATTCACCTTCTTCTTGCTTGCAGCTGCCAAATATATATCTTTCATATATTAAATATTTTGCATGTCTGAAGAAAGCTTCTACTGTATCAAGGGTGGCTTTAGTGTCATTCTTTTGCTCCTCTTATGCTTGTAAACATGGCAGCACTCACTGCCCATCAAAATCAGTGTGGCTGCTTGCACTGCTGCAGGCTTCTCATTCAGCCCTGTAGCTATGAAATAATCCTCAGACTCAGCTCTGAAGTTATCCCAGTCTCTGCTGCAATCCCTACTCACCCTCATTGCCTCAGGTAGTGGAATGCTATGAGCAGCTGCCATGATGCTGGTTTTCTTGCTTCCATTGCTCAGCTTGCAAGACAGAAGTAGCTGTAATTGCTACAGGAGGCACAATCACTTCCAAAAAGTCTCTCACTGCAAGACTTGCAAGCTCCTGGCATCAAGTGTGTGAGAACAGACCAGGTTCAGATACTTCTGACACCCTAATCCCCGCAGCACGCGCTATGTGCCTCCCTCCATGGGCCTGTGAGGAAGATCAAAGATCTCCCTCACCTAACCACAGGAAGGGAGGGAGGCAGGAGGGGACCCAGGGAGCTCTTGCCAGCAGCTCCACTGGGTTCCTCTCGCGAGGTCGGAGCGTTTCCGCAAAAATGCCTTTATCAAGGGAGCCTTTATCCCTTGATAAAGGCATTTTTGCCGAAATGTTGCGGGTGTTTTGGTGACTGACTCTGTCACTGCTTCTCACTAGGTCTGGTATGCTTATTGTTATATAGTTTTGTATATTTATATCTATGTTTGTGGGGTTGGATTAGACTGATATTTTATTTCTCTATTTTTGTATATTGAGACTCTGTTATTCATATAAGATGCTTTTGGTGTTTATACTTATATTTTCAGAATTTTTCTGATCATTGCTGCATAGCGTGACATGATCCTATATTTTGTATCTTTATGTTATGTGATATTCTTATAGAGTATACCCACTTAATAATGATTGTTTTATTACTATTGATGGTTGTGCTCCTTACTCTATTGTTATTTACATCTAAGTAAGGTAACTGACACCAGCTTTATGCTCCATTATTATAGGTGCAAGAATAATTTCTGCCCTTAATGTTTCCTATCATTAAAGGACCACTCTAGGCACCCAGATCACTTCAGTTTAATGAAGTGGTCTGGGTGCCTGGTCCAGCTAGGGTTAACCCATTTTTTTTATAAACATAGCAGTTTCAGAGAATGGGTTAAGCATTCCCCCATTCCCTCTAGCGGCTGTCTGATTTTCACAGTGAGAGCACGCCAGCATCCATAGGAAAGCATTGATAATGCTTTCCTATGTGACCGGATGAATGCGCGCGCAGCTCTTGCTGCGCGTGCGCATTCAGCCAACGGGGAGGAGAGAAGGAGGATCGGAGGAGGAGAGCTCGCCGTCCAGCACTGGAAAAAGGTAAGTTTTTACCCCTTTCCCCCTTCCAGAGCCGGGCGGGGGACCCTGAGGGTGGGGGCACCCTCAGGGCACTATAGTGCCAGGAAAACGAGTATGTTTTCCTGGCACTATAGTGGTCCTTTAACACACACACACACACTTTCACAGACACAAACATGCACACATGCAGGCAAGTGTAGAGAGGGGAAAGGACAAAGGAATGTAGAGACAATATGTTACAGCCAGTCAGGAAGATGACGCTATGATTGATTATGTTATTAATTAATTGTAATTATATCACATGTTTTTTCACTTGTTAATTGCTACATACACCTATATATTGTCTGTGCTGTATGTGCTTTAGTAGCTTGACAAAGGCCCTAAGGGGTCGAAACTTTGCTTTTTGGTTCCTGTTCCAATAAAATTGCCTTTGCTTTGGAATTCATTGGAGTGCCTGGATTATTTTCTATATTCAAAAAGCCTCCTAATAGCAGACCTACGGGAACAGTTATAGAAGCTATAAAACTCAGTGCTGTCTCAGCTCCACCATTGTTTGAGTAAGAGGCTGGACAGGAGGTGGAAGGGATCACTGCCCATCTGCCAGGGCCGGACTGGCCCACCGGGAGACCGGGAAATTTCCCGGTGGGCCGGTTAAGCTTGGGCTGGCTGTAAAAGTTTTTCTTTTTAATTACTGGTTAGCTGCGAGGAGCGGCATCACATAGTCGCTCCTTGCAATGAACAGACATGCAGCATGCCGTCGGTATACCTAGTGACATCATATCCCGGCGGCCGGTAATCAGTGCAAGCAGGAGAGAAGCCTAGTGACAGCTCTCACCCAGCTCCAGACCTGCAGACCTCATAATGACCCAGTAAAGAATTTGGAAGCAGCGGGTAATGGTACTGTGCAGAGGGAGAATTTGTAATTTGTTTATGTATGTGTCAATGTGTCTGTGTTTATGGGCCAGTGTATATGTGTCAGTGTCTGCATTTGTTTATGAGTCAGTGTGTCAGCAGAAAAAGCTAAATTTCACGACTAAAAAGGCGACCACTCAACACCAAAAGGCCACCAAGTGAGAGGTGACATCAAGGTGAACAAGACAACACCACCTAAGCAACATCCAAAGCAGTATGCACCTAGAACTATGGTGAGGCCTACTAGCATGGTAGGCACAGGAGAGAAGGTCGCTCTTCTGCTGCCGCAGCACGCCGAAAATCAGAACTTGAGCCCTTGTTCCCGTCCCTTTGAACCGGTGGGGTTATGCCGGTCTATCCTCACGTGTCCCCCCTTCACAGCAATGAACAAGCGACACTACTTTGGAGTCCCGGACATTCTTCCTACGTGACTCACAAAATGGCCGGTGCCTGCTACACCGCTGACACAGGCAGTGCAAAGCTGGAGACGGAGCTCTGTTTAAACAAAATCCACGCCTTCTGGCAGAAACTAGAGGCTTGCATGAACCCTCCAGTGCCAGAGACTTTGCCCACGACCTGCCACACTGCCCACCACGGATGGCCAAGCAGCTGGGAACAGTAACCCCCTAATTATACAGCCAGGGCTGGCCAGCATCAACAGGGGGCCACCTTGGGAGCACGCTCCTGGAACCAGCCTAACAGAAAGCACCAAAGACATCCTCACCCACGAGCTTCGAAACGGCAAGAGCTCCAGCGGGGCGCAACTAGCCCAAGCCGGCCGGGGAAATGGACAAGGCCCAAACAAGCGACTGCACATGGCAGGCCCTCCCGGAGTCCGGGCAGACCATGATCGGGGAAAAAAGAGGCACGCCAAGCAAAGGGAACTGCATGGAGGACTTTATGCTTCCCACAGAGCTTACTCCCTCTCGGCACAGGGACTTTACGTTCTCTTGATTTCGAGACACTAAAATGGCTGTAACAAGTAGCAAGGAAGGTTTACACTCAACCCCAGCAACGCATCGCTTGACTTGAAGACCAGGACTGGGACTTTAATCCAGGCAGAGTACCTGCCACTGTACACCTTCATGCATTTAAGCAGAATACTCACATAAGTTTCGCTCCTGTTACAGCGCATGTAATGATGCCATTTGACTATTGCAGAGACAGGAGGGGAGGTATCACTCTCGTTGCCTAAAGCAAGTCTAGTTGTTCACAAGCTACATACTTTTATTCTAAATGTCTAGCATAATTTAAATGTCTCAATAGCGGTTCTGATATATATTCAGCAGTTTACTCCAAACAGGCTATATCGTAGACCGTAGACACAGGCCCTTAACAGGGCATCTAATAGTTCATAATGAGCAATTTAGCATGATGAGCTAGGCTACAGATCTAAGCATATTTTATTATAATGTTTTTTCCCCGACTTAAACCGCTATGTCTAACTGGTCTCTAATATATAACCGCCTAGTTTGAGTCACAGTCTTAGAGATATCTACCTAGCCTGAACATAATATGAAAATTATGCGATTCTTGCATGCCATGATATTTTTACTCTATATTATTTCCTTAGCTTGTACCTGCTGTTGTGGCAATACAAACATGTTTGTATCTCCAAGCACTTCAAAAATAAGGAATGACAAAAATAAAATAAAAAAATAAATAAAACAAACGCATTAATATACGGGTATGTGTGCATAAAACAAATTGTATAAAATAAATTGTATTGATTAAAAATTACAATTGGCATTACAAGGACCCATATTACTTAATCCAGATGTTAAAATCATGGGCATACAGTATAAAGCAGCCCTAGCCTATAACCAGTGGCATACACACAACCCATGGGGCCCCGGTGCGAAACTTATCCATGGGCCCCCCCTGACAGACAGACACACACACACAGACAGACAAACAGATACATACAGACACATACATACACACACAACACATACATACAAAGACACATACCATACAAACAGACAGGCACACACACATACATACAGACAGACAGACAGACAGAGACACACACACGACAAACATACATACAAAGACACATACATACAAACAGACAGACAGGCACACATACATACAGACACAGTGCACAGTGAACCCAGCAGCCCCACTGAACCCCATTGAGAGGATCCATCCCAGCTCTTCCAGGCACAAGTAGAGAAGTATGTCTGTGATTAAATGTTTGTATGAGAATGTGTATGGGTTTAGTAAATAACTCCCTAATTTGGTATCTTTAAATATGTCAATCCCACATAAGGATAGCAAATTAGCAGCTATCTACTGAACAGCTGAAATATCAAATGAAGAATTGCTTTTCTTAATTTTGACATTTCATCTGTTTAATAGATAACTCCCTAAATTGGTGCCCTTATGTAGATTTGTCATATTTATGGATACCAAATTAGGGAGCCATGTAGCAGATAGCTCCCTTATATGGCTATCAGACTGCAAGGGGGTGGTTCCAAACTAATTCAAAGACGTGACAATTTCTCTTGAAATCACCAGTTTTATGAATTGGAGGGAGAGGGGGAGGGGGATGCAGTTAACACCTAAAGCACTTTAGCAAACTGAAGGGTCTCTAGGGGTCCTTCAAGTTGCAGGCAGAATTTTCAATGTTAAGTCTTTCTTTCAACTTCGGTATTTGCGTGCTATACTGCAGTGATGCATTATAGGACTGGTAAAAACATTTTTTTCCACGGCTGCTCTTTATTCCCAGTCCGGCCCTGCCATCTGGCCACTAGTAACCTCTCAAACATGAGATGCTTTGCAAGAAGAGCAGTGAAAACCTTGAGTGATTAACACCGTATAACCTGTATATCATCAATCTGACTGGTCTACAGAAGACATAGGAGGGTGCCCCCATCATAAAAGGATTAAAAACCCTTTCATTCACTTACCTGATTCTAATGCTTAGGTCCTTTGGCGCTGGATCTGGATCTTCCTCCCGCAATGTCAGGTATGGGGGGACCTAATATGCATGCGCACATTAGGAATTTCTTATAGGAAAGCATTTAACCCGTTAAGGAATCAACTTCTGACAAAAAAGGGAATCATGACGGAATATTTCCGTCATGTGTCCTTAAGGGGTTAATCAATGCTTTCCTATGAGGGTTTTCAAGATGTTGGATGTCCTCATGCAAAGCGGAGTTAAAAAAAAAAAAAAGCAGTTAAACTCTTTGGAACACCCAGAAATGCATCTAGGGACAGTGCACCCAGACCACTTCAATGAGATGAAGTGGTCTGGGTGCCTTTAGTGTCCTTTAAGATGCCAGGAAGTAAAATTGTAACATTAATTGATAATAAGATACCTAGGTTGTCTTACAACTTAGGTGAGGAGTACGTTCCTCCTCCAGTGACGCTGTATATTCCGTAATATTAATTGAATCAACAGAGTTAAAAAACGTACGTTCTTGCAAGGGGTTGCATACAATATTCCCGAACCAGGAGTGGTCTGGGTGCAGTGACCCTTTATTTCTAACCCTTTTGTAGAAACTGCAATGTTTACTTTGCAGGATTAATACGCTTCTAGTGGCCATCTTCCAGACATGTGCTTCCGTTCCTACAACTAACCATTTTTATACAAGCAGCAGCAACATAAACAGGGTTATTCACTACAGTGAGAATTCAAAGAAATTTGACAATTTAGGCAAAAGTAGCTGAAATGGAAACATAACTGACTTAGAGATTTTTCCCTATTCAACTACTTTGGCCTTAAATTTGAAATTCACTTTGAATTCACTAGGAGGTTAAGCATCTGTTTACTCCTACCTGAGTTTTGTACATGGTAATTATTGGTAATTATATTATGTGTTATTCCTGTGTATGTTAACATTACTGTATTTCTCCTCTCTGTAAGAAATGCTAAAAGGACATATAGAGTAAATTGACAGAAGAAATAAGCATGAAGCAACACTCATATTAAAGAAGATGGTGCATTTATTGACCAGATATTACTCTGGAAACTTTGTTTTGCATGTGTTATTTTTCACAAACTGGCAAACATGATGCAATACAAGTAAATGTACACAAGTGCGATTATTTTCATATCAATGTGTTATGAAGAGCACAAACCCCTTCATAATTGTGAAATTCGGGGGTTTCATGCATCCTACGTGTGACATCATAGTGAGTGACAGCAGCATCTTTAGGGCAGATGATGGGAAATAAGAACAGATCTGGCACCTTTTTACCAGGTGTGTTTCGAAAATGCTTGCTCCATTTAACTATGATAAATAAATGATAATTTATAGACAATCAAATAAAAACATTTTTGTGGTATACAATCTTATATCATATAGATCATGATCAATAGACGTAACTTAGAATAGTGAAGAATATTTCCAGTGCTAATAAAAATATACATCTTTACAAATTTCAGACAAAAGGTTTTATTCACAAAATGCTGAGTTTTGGCCAAATTAGTTGAGCTGGTAATAAATCTTCACCCCAGTCAATGTAGAAACATTTTTTTTTACTGTTACAGGAATAAACCCCCAATAAAGAGAATTACGCAACAGATGTATTTTAAGAATGTGTTATTTTCTCCCTGAATTTCCTATATTTTGTACTTTTTCGTGGGACTATTATTACTAAGGAGAAAAATGTGCATCCAGCCAAGACTTTATCCCATCTTTGTTCATCTCAATCCATGCAATATTGTTATTCACAGTTTCTAGTGCCTGTTTCCTTGGGGTCTCTCCTGCACCAGCGTTGGGATATCTCGCAAAGAAATTCTCCATCTGAAAAGATTCATTAAGTTAAACTCTTAGACTACTTAGAATTACAATAAGGGCCATTCTCTATGCCCACCTCTTAGGGTCTCAAACGAGGAATGGATGGGATATATGAAAAACATGTATGTCAGGGAATAGAGATTATTATTTGTTTATCGCTGTTGTTCCAAATATTGCTCTTACCTGCCACAATTGCACAGGTGTATTAAAGGTTCCTGATATTCTTGTGACAATGCGCCCAAGGTTCCTGTCATTTATAGTGTATCTAAAAACAAACAAAAAAGAAACATTTTCTTTAAAATTATCTCTCTTTTTCTTTTACAAAATGTCACGCACACACACACACACACACACACACACACACACACACACACACACACACACACACACACACACACAGTCTCTCTCTCTCTCTCTTACTCTCTAACAATCCTTGTTTCTGATATAGTTCAGTGATTCTCCTTTAGGACAGTTGCTGCTGATATTATTGTTTGAGTATATAGTTGCAAGAAAAAGTATGTGAACCCTTTGGAATGATTTGGATTTCTGCACAAATTGGTCATAAAATGTGATCTAAGTCACAACAATAGACAATCACAGTCTGTTTAAACTAATAACACACAAAGAATGAAATGTTGCCATGTTTTTATTGAACACACCATGTAAACATTCACAGTGCAGGTGGGAAAAGTATGTGAACCCCTAGACTAATGACATCTCCAAGAGCTAATTGGAGTGAGATGTCAGCCAACTGGAGTCCAATCAATGAGATGAGATTGGAGGTGTTGGTTACAGCTGCCCTATAAAAACACACACCAGTTCTGGGTTTGCTTTTCACAAGAAGCATTGCCTGATGTGAATGATGCCTCGCACAAAAGAGCTCTCAGAAGACCTACGATTAAGAATTGTTGACTTGCATAAAGCTGGAAAGGGTTATAAAAGTATCTCCAAAAGCCTTGCTGTTCATCAGTCCACGGTAAGACAAATTGTCTATAAATGGAGAAAGTTCAGCACTGCTGCCACTCTCCCTAGGAGTGGCCATCCTGTAAAGATGACTGCAAGAGCACAGCGCAGACTGCTCACTGAGGTGAAGAAGAATCCTAGAGTGTCAGCTAAAGACTTACAAAAGTCACTGGCAAATGCTAACATCCCTGTTAGCGAATCTACAATACGTAAAACACTAAACAAGAATGGATTTCATGGGAGGATACCACAGAGGAAGCTACTGCTGTCCAAACAAAACATTTCTGCACGTTTACAGTTTGAACAAGAGCACTTGGATGTTCCACAGCAGTACTGGCAAAATATTCTGTGGATAGATGAAACCAAAGTTGAGTTGTTTGGAAGAAACACACAACACTGTGTGGCGAAAAAAAGGCACAGCACACCAACATCTAAACCTCATCCCAACTGTGAAGTATGGTGGTGGGGGCATCATGATTTGGGGCTGCTTTGCTGTGTCAGGGCCTGGACGGATTACTATCATCGAAGGAAAAATGAATTCCAAAGTTTATCAAGACATTTTGCAGGAGAACTTAAGGCCATCTGTCTACCAGCTGAAGCTCAACAGAAGATGGGTGTTGCAACAGGACAATGACCCAAAGCATAGAAGTAAATCAACAACAGAATGGCTTAAACAGAAGAAAATACGCCTTCTGAAGTGGCCCAGTCAGAGTCCTGACCTCAACCCGATTGAGATGCTGTGGCATGACCTCAAGAAAGCGATTCACACCAGATATCCCAAGAATATTGCTGAACTGAAACAGTTCTGTAAAGAGGAATGGTCAAGAATTACTCCTGACCGTTGTGCATGTCTGATCTGCAACTACAGGAAACGTTTGGTTGAAGTTATTGCTGCCAAAGGAGGTTCAACCAGTTATTAAATCCAAGGGTTCACATACTTTTTCCACCTGCACTGTGAATGTTTACATGGTGTGTTCAATAAAAACATGGCAACATTTCATTCTTTGTGTGTTATTAGTTTAAGCAGACTGTGATTGTCTATTGTTGTGACTTAGATGATGATCAGATCACATTTTATGACCAATTTTTGCAAAAATCCATATCATTCCAAAGGGTTCACATACCTTTTCTTGCAACTGTATTGAGTTGGGCAACACATTCTTCTACAGCACATTGTAATATTTATGGTGCTATCAAACTAGTGGTGCAATCCCCTTGTTTTGTGTGAAATTGGTTTTGAGCATTTTGGTACAAATGGTCTGGCACCTCATTTGCTGTATTGCTAATACTATTTCTGTATAAGCACTATCGGTATTATCGTGATGAAAACACATACTAGTTTCATGGTAACATAAGTTGTGAGGTATGAGCTTTTCATTATTTAGCTTTTCATTTCATTTAGAACCAGGATAACAAAGAAATAACCCAGACTGGCAGGAGACATGTCCCAAAATGAAACTATCAAACCAGATCCAGAATAGATACGAGGCTTGGCTTTTGTAGTGTTCTTAATTTTAATATTCTGTAATTTGGCTTGAAAATGATCATTGGCATTAGTCCCAATCAGGTTCTTAATTAAAAACTGGCATTCAGATAAATGCCACTGCTGCCCAGACAAAGAGGATTTTTCCCAAATGAGACTGAGAGTACACAAAAACCATAGAGCTTTAAAAATACATAATAGAGAAAATAAAGATTTGCACCAATTGGACCTTTTGATGATTACTCAGTTAATTTTTAAATTTACTGGAAACAGTTATACCACCAGCTTGAAATCATAGACCACTATGAATGATCTCTGGTAATTCAACAAATAGCAGCAGGGAACTTTTATAAGTTAATGCCCTGACAGTTGAGTTAGACAGGTATCATGTAAGAATGTAACTCATTGCCGACATCTTTTTTCCATATTATGAAACTCTACAAAAAAATCCCCTACAGCTCACTGGTTGAAAGTGGCATAGGTTAGATTAATACATGTGATACTTTGGCATATTACATATGGATTCAATTTGTTGGAAAATGCCTGTTCAGAACATGTGCTACTTACCTGTGGTTCCTTAACGTATACTAAATTGAGCAATTTGTATATGCTTGTACTAGGGGGAAATTAATTATATATACCTTGTGCTATGGACCCAACGTGTGTTTGAAAGAATGAACTGTAATATTATTATTGACCACAAATCACAAGAGGTTCCGTAAAAGAAATCCAAATCTTGAAACATACCTGCTTACTAAGTAATCCCAGTTAATTCGGACCCAGTCCCAAGCCATTTGTTTGCCATGTTTGCTGTTTACGGCTATGTAATATATAACATTCAGTGCATCTTGACTTTTTATAAGGGTGGTATTGTATAAGTATGAGAGGAATCTGGCAAGACAAACAAAAGAACATATTTAATGTTAACTAACTAACCCAGTTTAATAAAGATAAACACAGATGTATATTGAGACTCAGCCTGAGCAAGCGGCATATATTGAATGCTACATTCTCAAACATACAAAGGTCAAATTACAGTGTACTTGTAAAAATTACACAATATCACTTTATATATAAATATCTCTACTTCGTCCTGGCAAAAGTTTTGTAAATGTCTCTAACAAACCATGGATCCTGAGTCACATTAATTCTCTTGATGCAAATATCTCCCATGGAGCTGCTATTATTTGCAGCATCATAGGAGATTTTTGGGCTTACACTCTTGTCTGGTTTGATTGCTGTTGTAAGACATGTACGGTGTTGGGTCAGGTATATGCGCATAAGACCTAGAGAACCTAGAGGGTGCTCTGATGAAACAATAAGCAGTTCATTCAACCATCTCATTTGTAATATCAATGATACCTGGCACATATTTGAGATCTCACAGAAAGTAATGTGAGTTATGTCCCGTGGGATGTAATGATCATGGATCCCACTCTGCCCCTTCAACTTTTACTCAACTATTACTTTTATGCTGTCACTGTGTGAAAAGTGCCAGTATTAATATTTTTAGGACACTGCCACTGAGTATCCCCTTTTGTTTAGGGCAACTCCTTATTGTGTTCTATATATATTATATAGTGCTAAGCCCTTTGGTTGTCTTACCAACCAAGTTTGCTAGTACTTTTTGTACTCTGATTTGTTATGTGATTTTCAGTAGCAAATCAGTAACAAATTAAAACAGACTCTTAAAGACAATATGGGACTTAAGGCGACCACTGCCCGTTTTTGAGTCCTTTTTATGCAATGTGACTGTGTAGGCGTCTGCCCACTCTCAGATGATGAGAACCATGATTAGGGTAATAGGGACCTCACAAGGGACCTGTTCATAAATTCCCACAAAGGACAAATGGACCTAAAAGTAATTCTTAAATGTATTAGCTATTGAATCATTCAAAGGTTACTCCAAGCGTAATGACCACTGAAGTATTTTGAAGTGATTATGGTTCAAAAACCTGTCCACATTCAAAGACATTTTATGTTGCTGTCGGAGGTATAACACCACTTTCAGCAGCCATCATGTTAATTCTGTGCATATTCGGTGCACAGAGGTTCATTCTGAGAGTGCTAAAGGTCTGCAAAGATAAAAGGTTAATCAGCTGCCATCCCTGAGGCTCAGCATCCAGATGGACTTATGTAAGATGCTAACCATTACAAAATAGTTTTTCCCATTACCAAGGAATGCTTCCAGGGTACTCCTGGTGTCATAACCACTACAGTTCAGAGTAATCCTTCAAATTAAAATTTCTTAGGTACCAAACGGAAAGAATATGAAACACCGGAGACTCTGTGTGAAATCCTTAGACTGACACTTTGTTGTGTATTCAGACCCACATTACCTACTAAAGATTTATATTCAAATTAATTAATAGCTGTAAATATAACTTGGTCAGCCCACAAAAAAATTACTATTTTGTGTATTTTCTAATCAACTATCACTTTGTAGACAGTAGGTGTACCTGATATAATTATAAGCCATAGAAAAAGACGAGATATTGAATTCTGTTGAGCTAGTATGTAATTTTTCTTCTCACAATAGTGTGTTTAATCATTGTTTCTATTGTGAGAGCTGCTGTCAATGCATTTTGACTAGTTAACACATTTATAAACAAAGAAAAGCCCAGACAGCACGGCACATTTCCCAAAACTCCAGTTTGCTTCTTTACCTGTCTATAAGTGTTATATCATTTATGGATGCAAGTCCCTGAAGAAGTTTTTCTTTTTCCTGAGCTAAAGTTGTATTTTGGTATTGCATAAACATGTAGTCCCAAGACGTAGCATTACCAGATTCCATTATTCCGTAACGATACACCAACTGTCTCAGGTTCACTGGAATGCTGGAATAAAAATGAATAAATTTAAATAAAAATGCATTTTAAGAGCCTATCACTTTACATGCTTTCTGGTGATGAGCTTTTACCCATTGTCCAAGGGGAACCCAATTCAAGGTGGGTCAACCAGGGATTTATGGGGCAGAGTATTTAATGAGCCTGTTCTATAAGCCAACAGATGGTGCTTAGTCTTGCTCCTGTCTAAGAGAACCAAGTATCCTAAATGCCTGAGTAGTATGGGACATTTTCCAAGGCGGCCAAAATAACAGAAAAAGATAGGAGTAGGCCTCTTACTATTTTGAGGAGAGTCAGTGTACACAAAAAGATTGTATTAGAAACCCTTATTTTTTTAATTGTATCCTTGATTACCTTTTTCCATGCAACCAATCCTGAAACTGTTTAGATGCTTCATTGAGGGCATCTCTGTCTTTCATTCTGCATGCAAGTGTCAGAACAGAAGCTCGTAGAAGTCTAGATTAGAGTGACATACAGTAAGTTTCAGATTTCTTTACACCAGGGTATTTTCCATTTTATAATGAACATATACTTACTTCTCTATATCAGTGCCATTATCACTCCATCCGAGTTTATTGCTAATTGGCTTAACTTGCTTACGGAAATATTCCTAAAATATATTATATGGCTGGTTATTATCACGTCAAAGGTTTATTACAATGTTTTACATTTTCAACTACACATAAAAATATCATAAAAATAATATCGAGTAATAGATAAAATTAATAAAACTATATTTGGTCAGAACTCATTTTCACAGTTTTCCAAACAACATGTTTGACAATTTGTCTCAATCACAACAGATCAGATGAATGTTTTTGTTTATTGCTCCATATTTAGTATTTTCTCCCATACTATCTATCATTTTTTGCTCAGGAAACTACAGGTACATTTTTATTTAAATATTTGTAAATAATACCAGTCACCTACGTATAAGAAAATGTTCAATATATTAAATGATATAATGACTAAAAACATTCCCATAAAAGAAAAAAAAAATCTCAAGATCATCTGGCACTAAAAAAAGTTTTAACCAGACTAGCTGTTCTTGGCCAACTTGTTTTCAACCCATAACTATCACTTTTAATGAATACAAACCCTTTGGGTGTCAGTTAAAGGACCACTATAGGCATCCATCCAGACTTCAGCTTAATGAAGTAGTCTGGGTGCCAGGTCCAGATAGGTTTAACCCTTTTTTCTGTAAACATAAACATATGTTTACCTATGGGTTAATCCAGCCTCTAGTGGTTGTCTCATTGACAGCCGCAAGAGGGCTTCCGCGCTTCTCACTGTGATTTTCACAGTGAGAAGACGCTTGCGTCCATAGGAAAGCATTGTGAATGCTTTTCTATGGACTGGCTGAATGCGTGCGCGGCTCCTGCGTATTCAGCTGAAGAGGAGGAGAGGAGGCGGAGAGGAGGAGGAGAGGAGGAGGAGAGCTCCCCGCCCGGCGCTGGAGAAAGAGGTAAGTTTAACCCCTTCCTCTCCATCCAGCCTGGCGGGAGGGGGACCCTGAGTGTGGGGGCACCCTCAGGGCACTATAGTGCCAGGAAACAAGTATGTTTTCCTGGCACTATAGTGGTCCTTTAATGTGCAGCTGTCATGGCATCCTTTAGAAATGGATTAAAATGACATGAATACATTGTGCTAGTCAAATGACTAGATCATGCAATGATAACAAAAAAGACTATAAATATAGTGACTATAGTGATTACAGCTGTGCATTCGACTGTCCCTCTAACAATCAATTAGTTGGGATGCGGAGTGATAGCAACATGCACGTTTGTCTTGTCCTTCTGCCACCACATTGGATGAGGATAAATAAATCTTCAGGTAAGTATATCTTTGGATCTACATATTTGGTAGAATAATAAACAAATTAACTCCGTACCTACCTAAATGTGAACACGTGATTTGTGGTTGACAGGTTCAATCTTAGGGATCTAATTTATTACATAGCAAATTTGAAACTTAAAATGTTATTATAAAATTAGATTTATCCATGTGCAACATGACAAGAACCAACAAATGGTTACCGCTTTTCCTGTGCGCAGTGATTCATGTTAACTAAATTTTGTTCTTTACCTGGTCCTGGGTTGGGGTGCAGGTTGTACAGGTGATACTCGGAAAATTAGAATATCGTGCAAAAGTTCTTTTATTTCAGTAATGCAACGTAAAAGGGGAAACTAATATATGAGATAGACGCATTACATTCAAAGCAAGATAGCATGCATATGGACTCAGTACTTTGTTTGGGCCCCTTTTGCAGCAATTACTGCATTAAAAGATCACTATAGTGCCAGGAAAACATACTCATTTTCCTGGCACTATAGTGCCCTGAGGGAGCCCCCACCCCCAGGGTCCCATGCCCGTGGCGCTGAAAGGGGAGGAAGGGGTTAATCCCTTACCTATTTTCCAGCGCTCGCATTCAGCCAGTCTCATAGGAAAGCATTCTCAATGCTTTCCTATGGACACTGGTGTCTTCTCACTGTGGAAATCACAGTGAGAAGCATGGAAGCGCCTCTAGCGGCTGTCAATGAGACAGCCACTAGAGGCTGGATTAACCCATATGTAAACATAGCAGTTTCTCTGACTTGGCAGATGCCAAGTCCTGCTGGAAAATGAAGTCAGCATCCCCATAAAGCTCGTCTGCGGAAGGAAACATGAAGTGCTTCAAAATCTCCTGGTAGATGGCTGTGTTGACCCTGGACTTAATGAAGCACAGTGGACCAACACCAGCAGATGACATGGCTCCCCAAATCAACACAGACTGTGGAAACTTCACACTGGACTTGCAGTGTGTGCCTCTCCATTCTTCCTCCAGACTCTGGCTCCTTGGTTTCCAAATGAGATGCAAAAGTTGCTCTCATCAGAAAAGAGGACTTTGGACCACTGAGCAACAGACCAGGTCTGTTTTTCTTTAGCCTAGGTAAGACGCTTCTGACGTTGTTTGTTGTTCAGGAGCGGCTTGACTAGAGGAATATGACATCTGAAGCCCATGTCCAGGATCCATCTGTGTGTGGTGGCTCTTGATGCACTGACTCTAGCCTCAGTCCACTCCTTGTGAAAGTTCCCAACACTTTTGAATGACCTTTTCCTGACCAGGCTGCGGTCACCCCTGCTGCATGTGCACCTTTTTCTTCCCCACTTTTCCCTTCCACATAACTTTCTATTAATGTGCTTTGATACAGCACTTTGGGATCATCCAACTTCCTTCGCAATTACCTTTTGAGGCTTTCCCTCCTCATGGAGGGTGTCAGTGATGGTTTTCTGCACAACTGTCAGGTCAGCAGTCTTCCCCATGATTGTGATTCCTACTGAACCAGACAGAGACCATTTAAAGGCCCAGAATCCCTTTGCAGGTGTTATGGCTTATTTGGCTGATTAGAGTGGGACACTGTGAGCCCAGAATATTGCACCTTTTCATAATATTCTAATTTACTGAGATTATGGATTTGGGGTTTTCATGAGCTGTAAACCATAATCATCGCACTTATGAACAAATCATGGATTGAACTATCTTGCTTTGCATGTAATGCGTCTATCTCATATATTAGTTTCCCCTTTTACGTTGCATTACTGAAATAAATCACTTTTTGCACGATATTCTAATTTTTCGAGTATCACTTGTAGATTGATGTAAATGCAAGCGACAATCTCAAATTCTGCTTCTGGGGGATATTGAACCCACCAGATTATATTATTATTTTTAAGCATGTTCGATGGTGATGTCAGCTATCCCTGATTCTAACTAATTCCCCTCTCCCAAAAAATGAAAATAGACAAAGGACCAAACTTAGGGTACATGGACTGCAAAGGGGAAGAGCAAGGTGCATAGTTAGAAGAGTCTATGCAGGTACGCTTATGGAAGTAGAATGAGAGGCAGGTAAGGACAGAAGATACAATGCTTAGTCAACATGTACTGCATTATAAGCTATGAAACGGATACATTTCTGCAGGGGTAATTGCTATGAATTTTACCTGAAATTTTGGGTAGATATCGTCAAAGCTTTCCAGCATGTTATCTAGGTACGATAATCCTGAGTACGCCCTTTGCCATGGTAGATAATTTGTTTCACCCTCAAGGTATCTTGTTAAGTCTAAAGTGATGTTATAGTCTAGCTTCTCAGCACTGTGGACAGGAAGAGATAAATTGCATAATTCACATACGCACAGAAATTCTATTAATCAAGCCCTTCATTTTAACGTCGTGCAATTTTTTATTGCCAGTATTAGGCACCACTACCGAACAATTGGCATATTTCCATGTGAAGCTTACTCCTCGCCTGAAGAACAACGCTACACATTAGACAACCGGGGATTTACATAAATTATAGGAAGTGCAAAGAGCATTAGTAATGAACTGAGCTGATATAGAATCTGGAGATCATATAGAAAGGGGTTGTATGGAGCTTCTCTAGAGATGAAACGAGAGCTGTATGTGGAAAGGACTGGTAACTCTAGTGGTGAAGGTGGACAGTGAAATAGAAAAATTGTGAAGAGCTGACTAGGATGGAGAAAAGATCTGGGCACTTGATTACTGCTCAGTATTTATCTCCCCCACTGAAGAATATTTGCCATTGCTTCTACAGACTGTAAAGTCTCACCTGACTTCATATTTTACAGACATTTAAATATCTATGTACTGTTCATAATAATAATAATAATAATAATAATAATAATAATGTGTCTTGCTGCTCTTCAAACATCTTCAAAGACTGGCAATGCTCATTTGGCTCTAAGACCCAAGCAGTATGTTTTCCTATGACAAGGAACAGAAGTATAGTTGTTTAATATGCAAGGAAGAAACTCTAATGTGTAGGCTCCATGTTATTGTCTTCTTGAAAGCAGATATTAATAGGCAAACTATTAATGGCTGGGCCTGGGAGAGCTGCATTTAAGTTATTATTGTGACAGATGAAGCTGCAAAGCTATATTTATAATTGCCTGGTGTGTAATACCAATATTTTAATGACCCTATGCAGTTGTTTTGAAGCTGTCTGCTGCCTCGTTTGTGTCATTAATGAGTAGGAGGAAGAAATGCCAGGCCAGATTCTGCACTTTGTAACTTCTGACGTGCTATTGTGAGAGAAATCGGTCATCCGCACTCCCTAAGGCCTCTATACAAACTTTGTCTGTGGCAGTTTCAAAATTGGTTTCTATCTGTCCTGTGTTTACAGAGAGAACTTGGGATTGTTGATTACATTCAGAAATTCTCAGAATGTAGCAGTAAAGGACATGTTGCTTTTGCTGACCATGTCATTGTTAATTGTTTTATTTCTAAGTTTAGAAATTAAGGGTCGCTGAAATCCACACCCCATGTTTTTTTGTTTTTTTTTGAGGGTACAGGGAATGGGGGGGGGGAGAGCAAACAAGTATTGTAGCATTGTGGACTACCAATTATCTTTACAATTATCACACTTTCTCATAAAATACACCAATATGTATTAATGGTTTCTTAAAGGACATAACAGGCTTTCTTTGGACACCCCATATATATTCATAACAAATTTAGTACAAATGAAATATTAAAGTGGAAAACAAAATTATTGCAAATATTTCTAGTCAATAGTGCAGTTAGAAAAAAATATCTCAAAATAGATGATTTTATCTGTCCTCATTGTGGAAAGGATTCATATGTCTAGGATGTTGGTCATTTTTGAATTTCTGTTTAACCTGCTCATGGCATACTGTTTGCAAAAGTAGATTCTCCCAAGGTATTTTACATTAGAGTTATTGAGTCATTTCAGAAAGCCCATAGAATCTCCAATTTCTCTTTTTGTTAAGATTTAATGCTATGGAATTTTCTCACGAATTTCATTAATGCTGGTCTAGTGTTATATTTATTATATTATATACTAAGTATATTCTGTACTAAGCAGAATTAGAAATTTGACAGACAAGTGCTGACAGAAATGAATGCTTTTTAGTTATAGAAAATACTTCATCTAAAGGCTTGTTTACTTATAGAAATATACTGATTTCACAATGAAGCTTACCTGTAGGTTATAAAATTAAGGGAAAAATGAAATGAGCAAACGCTCTATAACCCACCTTGCCAAAGCAAAACCATCATCAATTATACCTGCTCGATCTCCTTCAGAAAAAATCTACAGAAATAAACAAAATTAATAAATTGCCCACAATGTTACTTACACCTCAAGTAAAGATGCAACATGCTTTAAAATAGTGGATTCTCAAATATAAGTAAAGTTTGTTTGAAAAAAAAAAAAAGATTGTTAAAGGAACATCCCAAGCCCCATAGCCACTACCGCAATCTGTAGTAGTTATGGTGTCAGTAGTGTCCTAGCATCCCCAATTCTAACTAGTCAAACTATTTTAGAGAAGTTCAACCTTTCATCTGGTGTCTGCCGGGGGGATCTCCTCACCTCTACAACACCTGGGTAAGAGCTGGATGCAGTTTTCCCTGAGCTAAGATAGCCAATGTAGGGCTTAGCTCATTGTGTGAAACCGATCGACTGACAGACTCAGGCAATGAAGCTAGCCTTGGAATACAGGGCTTTGTCTGTGAGAGCTAATGTAAGCTCCTGAGCAAGGGATTCCGTGTCTCACTATGCTGCAGTCAGTGGTGTAGCATGGGTCGCCAGCACCTAAGACAAGGCAAGTATTGCACACCCTAACCTGTGGACTGTTAGCATGCTCCGAGTGCATTAACAGGTACCTAGATAGTCTCGTTCCTCCTTCCCTACCCCACCTTTTCTGTGATGTATGTGACACTGCAACGGACCCCAGCTAATTCCTTCCTTCAGCCACTCAGGAACCACTTATAATGATAAAAGACCCATTTCCCCCCCAGTAACTGGACGACACCGAGTTCTAGAGGTACAACACAATTTTATTGGCCACACACGGCTTTTATGCATAACCAGATGCAAGAGGTCTACCACACAATCATACGGGGTCACATCCCAGGATCCTCCCCCTCCCTGGGGTCCTAGCGTGGGAAGTGACTCCGTTCCCTTTGTCCCCAAAGGCCGCCACTGAAACCACAGGATTTCCCACACCAACCGCCAAGGGTCCTCTTCCCAGAAGCCTCTGTGCCTGGGAGTCCAGGCGCGGGAAAAAGGGACTGTCCCTTTGTCTCCCAGGCACAGAAAAGCCTGACCACGGGAAAAGAGCTGGTCTCTTTGTCCTGCAGGTATCGGAAAGCCCGCCAACCTAGCCAGTGCCCCAAAAGTGTCCACACCAACCTCAGGGACCCTCACAGTGGTGCCTTACTCAACCAGTCTCCACTCGCAATGTTCCTGTGTGAAACCCTGCAAGGTAAGCGGCTCCTTTCGGGATACAGATGCTCACCCTGGACTGCGTTCATCTATGCGAAATGTTGGCCACCCCGGGGCACATTACTTAATGACTTCCCTTGCGGTTATTTGTATTTTATATATAGAAAGATATATATATATATATATATATATATATATATATATATAGAATGTCATTCTAAGTGTATTTTGTTACATATATATATATATATATATATATATATTAATAACAAAATACAGTTAGAATGAAATTACATTTAATAGGCATTTACATAATGCCTCTTAACAGCATTATGATACCGGCGGTAACTTCAAATGGGAAATCATGCTATTAATAGGCATTATGAAATTCACCAATAAAGATTGCATGAGGACAGTACGGCTGTAATTAGGAAGACAAATAATTTAAAATTCTGCAGTAGAGGTAGAGGTGTAACTACTTACAATCAGGGGCATCAGAGAACTTCTGGCACCATAACTTCTACTGCGTGCTTTATTGCAAATGATGCTTAGAGTGTTCCTTTAAGTTTTAGTCTTTTTGATACATAACATATAAATGATCAATTGTGGCTAAATTTTCAATAGCTGACCACATTTAAAAATAAAAATAAAAATCCAAAGTTGCGCACCATAACAAAATGTGTTGTGGCCCCCCATTAGGCAGAAAATGCACGCTTCTTAATAAACATCAGATGGTTATACCTGTATAAAAATGGTGTTTACTAGTGTTACTCAACTATAAACAGTGAAAACCTGAAAACAGACAGCGTTTTCTTTTATTAATATATATCATAAAAAATCTTGTATATTGTAAAAAAATGAAAGTTGGTTTAAACATTTCATCAGTTTATTGTTTATATTGATGCTTACCGTATGGTTGGTCAGTAATAAATTAGACAGTTCATTCCAATTGTGAGTGTCATAATTTACCCGGAAAAACCCAAAGTGCTTTTTATTTATTTTCAAGAATCCATCAGTAAGAGGGTCATGTGGCTTCAACTCTAATCCTGTGTAAAAAAATATAACAGTACATAAAATAATATATATTACTCATATATTTGCTATGAAGTACAGGCTGGTGTTATGTGCTTATGTTAAACACTTACATCTTACAGAAGCAAGAAAGGAAGGAAGATGCATGGCCCTATATTATATTTCATTTCACTCATGCCATCTCTGTGCCCTTTTGCTTTTACTGCGACATACTTAAAGGGACACTACTGGCACCAAAGCAATTTTAGCAAAATAAAGCAGTTTGGGTGTATAGATCATGCCGCTGCACTCTCATTGATGAACTCTCTGCCATTTAGGAGTTAACTCACTTTGTTTATGCAGCCCTATTTACACCTCTCTGTAGTCTTCCTAAACACTTCCTGTATAGAGAGATCTTATGTTTAAACTTATGTTTAAACCAGGCATAAGGGAGGGACAAACAATTTTCACTGCAAAATCATACAAATAAAAAAACCGAACTCTTTCTCTCTCTCTCGCTCTCTCTCTCTCTATACACAGGCACTCCTCACTTACCGACCGAGTTCCGTTCGTATAACAAGTGAATTGGTCTGTAAGCAAGGACTGGCACGACATCCAAGTCTTGCATGCGCTAGAGAGCTGGTCTATGTTCGGCGAATTCCCTTGAACATAGACTACTCTCTAGCATGGGGAATCTCTCAAATCTATGTTCGGGGGAATTTCCGAGACTCAGATTCGGGAAATTCTCTGTGCTAGAGAGCTGGTCGTATGTCTGAGCAGTCGTTATGCAGGTAAGTTGTTAAGTGAGGAGTACCTGTGTAATGGCATACATTGCATAAGCCACCCACAATGCTTATTCTTGGCAGGTCCTATACTAGCAACCTAATGCCCGCTCTTATGAAAGCAATCCATTTACTTGGGAAATGCTTTCTCCTGGGACTTTCTGCAGTGCAAGGTTTAATAGAGCCCTGGAATGAGGCGACTGTGACACCTTATACCAGTGATGGCGAACCTCTGGCACGCGTGCCACAGGTGGCACGCCGGGCCCTTTCTGTGGGCACGCGGCCACAGGTCCGCCATCAATGCAGAGTAGGCGCCTGTCTGCCCGAAACGGCAGGCGCCTACTCTGCTTCCGGGTCGGGAGGCAGGGTTTGTGCAGTGCTCTCGTCCTTCTCGCTGATGCTGTGTGGAAGCGCTGCCGCTGCTACCATGTGGCAACGCCCACACAGCATTGCGCCGAGAGGACAGCAGTACTCCTACCCTCCCACACACACAGTACCCCCAACCCTCCCAGCAGTACCCCTACCCCCCACACACAGTACCCCTACCCCCACATAGTACCCCCAACCCTCCCAGCAGTACCCCCACACACAGTACCCCTACCCTCCCAGCAGTACCCCTACCCCCCACACACAGTACCCCTACCCCTCCGCAGCACCCTTACACATATAGCACACACACACACAGCAACCCCCCCACACACACACACAGCACCCCCCCCACACACACACACAGCACTCCTCACATACAACACTCACACAATGCAGTATGTGTGTATTCAGTAGTCTGTGTGTGTGTACTCAGCAGTCTGTGTGTGTGTGTGTGTGTACTCAGCAGTGTGTGTGTGTGTGTGTGTGTACTCAGCAGTCTGTATGTGTAGTCATCAGTCTCTGTATTCAGCAGTCTTGTGTGTGTGTATTCAGCAGACTGTGTGTATGTATTCAGCAGTCTGTCTGTGTATGTATTGCATTTGTTGGAGATACTAATAAATATAAGCTTAATTTTATCTATTTATATCATTATTTAAAATTTGTATCATTGAACTCTCTGTGTTCTTTTAAAACAAAAGTTATTAGTTTGGACAACAGTACGAGTTGTTTTTTTCTAAACTTAAACCTCAGTATTTGGGTTTAATTGCCGTGTTGGCACTTTAAGGAGAAAAAATGTTGGCATGTATTGCGGTTTGGGCACTCGGGCTCAAAAAGGTTCGCCATCACTGCCTTATACTGTAGAGAGTCCAAGGAGGAAGCATTTTCCAAGTAAGTAGATTCATTTCATAAGTGCAGGTATTAGGTTGCAAGAATAGGACCTGCTAAAACTGGGCTACATTGGTGTTATGGCAGGCTTGTGTAATGTATGATCATACAATGTAAATAAGCCCCCATTATTTTAGCCTAGGTAAGGTATTTTTTAAATAAACTTTAACAGTCTGTGACCCTTGAAATTGCTGTTTAGTGAATGAGTGAGTGCACTTCATCAATGAGGTTTCTTCGCCGTTGTTTGGGTTTCCCTTTTGTGAAAGTTTGTCGCCATTGTAGAAGTGTAATCCAATTGTATGAATTTGTTATACACTTTAACAAGACTCACAAACATAGACTGCCTAATGCATACATACATACACACACAAACTGCCCAAAACATACACATGTAAACTGCTTAATACACACAGACACAGACACACATACACACACACACCCACACTACCAAATACATACCCACTGTTTAATACATACATACAAACCTTCTAATACATACACACTGCCTAATACATACATACAAACCTTCTAATACATACTCACAGATACTGTCTAATACATACACACTGCCTAATACATACATACAAACCTTCTAATACATACACACTGCCTAATACATACATACAAACCTTCTAATACATACACACTGCCTAGTACATACACACAAACCTTCTCATATATACACACAGATACTGTCTAATGCATGCACACATCCACATACATAATACATACACATATAACCTGCTTAATACATAAACACACATCCACTCCCAGTACATAGACACATGTTGAGTTTGAATTATTGAATAACTCTTGTTGACTATTGAGAAATCCACTCTAGAAAAAATTGTGGATTCCCCCATTCATCAGTCTTCACTCTACCTGGGCAATTGCACAATTTTGGACATCTGTTCCCACAGAAAAAAATGTAGGGCTTCAGATTTTACTTTCACAAGGAATAGCTGCCTAGACATTTCTAAGGATAAAGTTTTTACGTTTGGGTCCAGTGTTCTATCCTTCATAGCCTCTTAATAACACTTCCAATACAAAAAAGAAAATAATCCTTGCAGTACACTTATCTCTCACTCCCTTCTTGGCTTGGGGATTCCCCATTAGTGCCATGTTGGCCAGGAAATATTATGTCTTACCAACACTGGAATTTTCTTTTCCTGGCTATTTAGATAGCAGCATCAACACCCCCCCTTTGGTGGAGGCTTTATAATAAAATTAAGGCTTCTAAAGAGGGAGGGGAATTTATTAAGATCTGTTAATTGATACTTCCTGTCCTAACTGCTGAGTGGGGATTTAATTTGTTAGTGGGTAAGAATTTTCCTATATATTGCACATTCTGTTTAATTTACAATTTCTTATGTCCTGCTCTGTCAATAGCCTTTTATACCTTGGGGTGCCTCCTCCAAGTGATTAGAGTTCAATTTACAGAGCAGAAGATATAAACTTCTAAATTAAGTTAATATAGGATAGAAAATGAAACAATTATATATCATGCAGGCTGCAGCCAGAAGAGCTGTGGCTAGTGCTGTATGGACAGAAACAAAGGGATTTTACTCAAACATGGCAGACAATTGAGCAGCGAGATTGCAGTAGTGTGATCTATACATCAAAACTGCATCTTTGAGGTAAAGTTGCTTTGATGCCTATAGTACTAAGGTTAAGGTTAGTTCTCTATTTCATAGGGAGCTGCATTAAGATTGCAAAGATTGGTGACCCCTCCTAGAGCCCTGGGCTCTGCTCTGTGCATAGAGGTGTGTGGGAGGTTGAGTGTTGTGTGTTTGTGTGTGTAGTTGCTAAATGTTGTAAGTGTGGAAGAGACTGAGAGCTGTAAGGGGGTGGGTGAGTGTGAGTGTTAAATGTGTGATGGCTGATTTTTGTGTGTGTAGGAGTCTGGATGCAGCTGAGTATTATGTGTAAGATGTCAAAAGAGGAGATTTATTGTGTGTGTGAGTACGTTTTTTATATACCTCCTCTTGCCTACTACATTTTGGTATCCTCTCTTTGGAAATAGGCAGGTAATCACATTAACCAATCAGAAATCTGACTTCATATTAATTCCAAGAACCTGAATACATGTTACTCTACTGGGTCATTTATCAACTAGTAAAATATCCTGGGACTTACCTGCAGATACAGACTTGTTGTACAATATGGTATGTGTAGTGCCGCTATTGGCAGTTCCATAGAATGTTACTGGGATATTCCACACGTAGCTTAAAAGATACAGAAACATTTCTAGGTAAAAATTTCATAAATAATGAGTCAAATTAGAGTTAAAAACATTAAGACATTTGTTCTTTTTAGTTGTGACGGATATCAGTTTCAAATACTGACACTAATAACCCAAAGGTTGGCTGTTTAGGGTGCAGAGAACAGAAAAGAGTTAACATAGATTTTAGATCTATTATTTTGTGTTTGAGCACCAGAAACTTTAAAATGGAAAATAGCATAATGTACAATACTGAGAAAAACAAAACACATCTGGTGAGATCGCTCAGTGGGCTAATGCAATCTGTTCAGCCCTTGGGTTGCAAGTTCAAATCCCAGCAGAATTGACTCAGCCTTTCATCCTTCCGAGGTAGATAAAATGAGTACCATTAAATTGTGTTAACAACCCATGGATGTTGGGCTAAAGTAACATCCCCATGATGTACTTGAAAACCAGAGTCATCTGAATGTACTTTTCCTGGTTAAATACTTTGTTTAATATTAGTTGTGCCCTGAAATTACATAGTTGCGCTCTTCAACTCTTAGAATGCTTCAGTGTGCTAGGAATTGTGTGTTGTCAATTGCATTAAGGGAAGGATGGAGTGGGTGTATGCAAGCTAATGCCAAATCGTGTTTGCTCTATGAACAATAACATTTAAAATGTTTTACATCCATATGTGCTAAGCTATCTAGCCTGTTTACTTTCTCATTGTGCGAGGATACCTGTTATAAATCAGAGGTTCTCTGTTTTTTATTCAAGGTATTGCATGACACAGCAATTGTTGGTGTTTTTAATTATAAACGTTTCACTTTAAATCTATGGATAATGACATTTACAATACAACAATGTTTAAATAAATGAAAACCTCTATATACATACTTGAATTCAGAGGGTGGTTCAGCTTCATTGGCTGTTGAGTCCAAGAGAAAGCGTCTCTGTATTACAGTGTTCGAGTTCACATTAAGGACAGGATAGCCCATCTGTCTAGTCCAGGTATCCATCACTTCTTTCACTGGTTCATTACTTGCCTAAAAAAAAGTCAATAATTCTGAATTGCGGTTCCCTATTCCAAGGCTAACTTTAGAACATACAGTTAATTGCTCTTTCTTACCTCTGCCAGAGAACCCCAGAAATCATCTGTTTTAGCATTCATGTATTCATACTTTTTTAGGTAATTCTAAAATAAGTAAAAAAGGGTTTAATGGCAACTAAATACAAACTCAAGTATATGGAAAACTTTTTCTATAGACAAATTACAAAAAAAAAGTAAATACAGATTACAACAAGGTTACATTTTTTCAAATCCCAAAGTAGGTCTCTAGGTCTCTATAAATTCAGCTGAAGGCATCAAGTACAGCTCTAGAGTACTAAGCATTTCTAATGTTGCATTTCTTGTTCTCTATTTCCAATTAAGTTGCTTGATGATATACCTGGAGTGCCTGGACCATACCATTTTCTTCACTTGCTGTATGGGTGTTTGCCAGCCCCAGGTCTGGAGCACCTAGTCCAAGGCTCTTTAAGTGTTCGGTTTCCTCTCCATGTTTGGATTATCAAATTCACGATTCAGTGTAAATAAGACTGAATTACTTAAATTTCCACTCTAGAGGCATTTCAACACGTTGACAATCTACTGAGCTTTGGTTGAACTGTAAATGTTTTTTGCCAATAACCAAGGTGACTACTATAAACATTTAGGTACATTAAGATCAATAATTATTTTGCCCAGATAAGAGAAATTTTTTTAATTTGAGTTACATTTGTTTTGTATAAACATAAAGATCGAATCTGCTTACCTGACACCCTATTTTAAATTTTTCAGGAGTAATCCACTCTTCAAGCATTCTCAAAATTGATGCACCCTGGAAGAAAAAGTATATTTGTTTTTGTTTGTATGTATGTATATATGTATAGTATATATATAAAAATTACATTTTAAAATTGACTAAATTCTGGTAGGTATTCATTTATCTTAAAGGGACACTGTAGGTGATTGAAGTGTGCTAGGAATTGTGTGTTGTCACATGTCCCTTAACCCTGCAATAGTAATTATTGCAGTTTCCAAGAAATTTCAATAATTACCTTGCAGGGTTAACTTCTCTAGTTGCTGTCTACCAGAGAGCCACTAGAGGGACTTCCAGAATTGAAACAGACTTTTGCTCCATTATCTGACGCTGCACCTCGTGCTCTGCATCAGGACCTCCAGCGTCAGATTTTCCTCAAAGGAAAGCATTGAATAATACTTTCCTATGAGGAACTCCTTATGCGAGCGTGGCCATTGTCGCACATGCGCAGTAGGTCTCCCCCGTCGACTGGTAACCAGTTTATCCATCCATTTTTTACCATCGATTTTGGTTCATACCATTGATATACTAGGTCAGTATCTCCCATAATCTTCTTACAGCAATAATGCTGGCAAACCATCATGGACCATGTAGTCCACAACATCTGGAGTGCCGAAGGTTGCTGATCCCTGTGCTAGGTACTGAAACTGTAAGTTTCAGAAGTTAGCATACTTGATATCTTAAAAAAAATCTCTATTGTTACTAAGCCATATAGAAATAAAATGTTAATATTTCTAACCTTATTGTAGGATATGGCATCAAAAACCGATGTGATTTCAGCAGGGGTTGAAACCGTCACAATTATTGGATGAGAGGACAGTAAAGCGTCATCCTTCATCACAGGTAACAAGTCATCAATTAGAATCTGATCAAGCTGAAAAAGAAAGAGTGTAGATTAAACACCGTGGGAAATATTGTTTAAAAACATAGTCACAAAAATATATCTACACAAAGTTTACTTTTTTAAATGGCCATTCTGCTGATTAAAGCAGTTCAATCAATTAAAATACGAATGTTATTTTTTGTAGGATAAAAACAACCTAAATCATTTGGAAAAGTAAGCATAAAAAGTTAGGGTTGCATTGAATCTGATATTTGCTTATGTAAGATCAATCTATCTAATCTATCTTTTTAATTATTAGTTGGATTACATTTTTTGCAATGCATTTATTTCTCTTTGAAACGAACAATAATAATAATAATAAAAAAAATTAAACTAAAAATAACTGGGGAGACTTTGAGATCTTTGACAGTTGCATTGCACCTTCATTGCAGAAAAGGTGCATGCAATGCCCTGCCATCTTTTCCAAACGTGGCACTTTGAGCTGTTTGTCAATTATTCAGTTTTATAACATCTCAACTACGGGCCATTTAGTTCTCTTTTTGATATTTCTGGGCTGGACTACTTCGATCTGTTTTACATGCCACAGGGCCACAAAATAACTTTATTGTCAACCACTGCAGGGAAGCTTACAAACGATACTCCTTTCTTTACTCAACAATATTCTACATGGAAACATGAATCTAAGTGGTAGAAGCAGTCTATCAGGAAACAACATGACTGATGTTCTCAACAGGGTCCTTACACCTTTAAACTGGTATCTTTACACACCACCTTTACATATACTGAATAGGTATTTTATGACCCTCAGTCTCACACCCATATTATCATTGCTTATAAATAAAATCGTTTTGAAAGGCAAAATATGGTCCTTTAACTGAGATAATGCTGGGACTACCCCTGGTTATTTGCATATGATGGGCTGCTTGTTTGTTTTAAATATTTTTATTGGTATCATGTCATAAGCGTGGTTTACGATTGTATTTAAACATTACAGTCGGTTGCCTGCGCAGAGGCGTGTTTCTCGTTGCGGTGATCGGAACAATCAGTTGCCTGCGCAGAGGCGTTTTTTCATTGCATCTAACATAACGTTTAGTTGCCTGCGCAGAGGCTTGTGTCACTGTGTATCTATCATAGCGTTTCGTTGCCTGCGCAGAGGCTCGTTTCACATTGCAGCAGATGTGTCGTTTAGGTGCCTGCGCAGAGGCGGTTCGAGTATTTTACTTTTAACTATATAATGTAATATAATTATTAGCTATCATAGTGTGCGTGCTGTGTATGGTCTGGCTGGTGTGTGTGTTGTTTGATGAGTGTGGTGCGTATTCTGATGCTTGTTTTAGGGCTTGTCACATGTTGCAGCGCTTTTTTATCGCATCTATAGTGGAGTTTGCCTGCGCCGCGTGCGCTCAACCCGTTCCTAGGGCTGTGTGTGTTGAGGTATTGAGCTGGTATGTGTTGTGGGTGCTTATTGCGTCTCGGGCTACTGGACTGCTGTGGGCTGCTTGTTTGTGTAGCAGGGCCAAGTATTTTTTTTACCTACTGAAATATATCCAAATCAGGTAGACGTAAGCAAATAATTACCATGTTCCAAGTGGGTTCAGCTTCATTCACACCAAAATATTCAAAAAAGCTGGCAAATCCTTCATTCAGCCACAAGTCGTCCCACCAGTCCATTGTCACAATATTTCCAAACCACTACAATTAAGCAATACAAAGACAGTTATGTTAATAACATATTTTAAAACATTAATGAGAAAATGATCCATACATTCCCCTATTTCTATTATGAGACAGAAAGCATTTCTTTTTGTCAGGAACAAAAATCTGCTATGAAAATTAGTAGAACGTACTCAAGAGCTCATGAGTAAGTTGACTACTAGGAAGAGCTAAAGAACACTGTGACTCTCAGAGATTAATGTGCAGTCCAACAAGTGCAGGGATCACTTGCAAACCCATTGTGGCTTAGGACAGACCTGGGTACCTCAGGTATGGTTATTATTGATTGTTTAAAAAAAGAGTGTCCCCACATGTCATAATTATTATCAGTCAAAATCATCATTTCATTCAGGAACTCTAGTGAAAGAAAATCTGGGAAATATAAAGAATAATATTTATTATCCTATTAGTCTGACTAAACTGATAACAAAAATATATTGTTTTTATGTCTCTATGAAACATTTTGACCCAGCACTATAGTATTACTCAGTTACTCTCAAACGGCATAAAATAATATAGATATTAATCCTGAAGTATTCAAAGAAATTGTAAACAATCGCCTATTGTTTCTTGCCTAAATATGTATTGCAGGGGGATTGAGGTAAGACATGTCATCTTTGTTTGGAAAAAAAACATTTATTAACTGATTATTCTAGAGGTTCAGATATATTTTCCACATGGACAATGAATTTGGGGTCAATGTCCTAAAAATATTTTTGTGCTATATCTACACAATATAATACACATAGGGATTGTGGTAGTGCACAAGTAACTATTTTCTTTGGTTTTTATAATATATATTGTGGCTAATGTGTACTTGTGCGTACTAAATCACACAAATTACATTGAGCTACCTATGTACTGTATGATATTGCACTAGGTGCTTGTCAAATTTTTTTGTCTTTTCAGCTATCCCATTGTATTATTGCCATTATTCCAGATCTTGTACCCAGGAACCAAGATACTCCACCTATTTTGTATGTTTATAATATGTACTATGGTCATTGCTACAGCCCAGGAGTAGTGTATATTGTATATTGATATAATACAATTGACCTTTTCTTAAGAATACAGTAAAAGATTAGATTACATAATAGTTTAAATTAGTACAAGATACACTGATAACGTGTCTGATACCCCACCTCCTATAGACTGTAAACTCGTTTGAGCAGGGTCCTCTTCAACCTATTGTTCCTGTAAGTTTTCTTGTAATTGTCCTATTTATAGTTACCGTACATCCCCCCTCTCATAATATTGTAAAGCACTACGGAATCTGTTGGCGCTATATAAATGGCAATAAAAATAATAATAAAGGGACAATATTTGCTTAGAACATACTTTGAGGGACACTATAGGAGACCAGCAGTTCTAGCAAATGGTAGCCTTGCCCCAGGCCATACAAACCTATATTGTATTTAATGCACATATTTTTTGAGGAAAGGGAGTTTTATTCAGTATATGTTGCTGAAGATTCAAATGATGTAGATCAGTTTCTATAACCATGTTAAACCATAGCACAAATAGACTATTTTAGATTTATTTAAAGGAACACTATAGGGTCAGGAACACACACATGTATTCCTGACACTATAGTGTTAAAATCACCATTTAGGTGGCTTGCTGCACGCTTTCCTCCCTTAAAACGTAATAAAACATACCTTATTTCAAGAGCCTTGCGGGTTCACATCCCCCACCCCTGATCTGCCTCCTTGCTGACATCATCAGAATTGATGATTTCAGCCAATCCAATGCTTTCCATTAGGCAAGGAGGTGGGAAGGGAAGGGTCCAAATGCCAACTTGGCCAATCACCACCTTCTCATAGTGATGCATTGAATCAATGCATCTCTATAAACAAGGTTAATTATCTACATGCAGAGGATGGAGATGCTGAATGTCAGCAGCACTGCCCCAGGAAGCACCTCTAGTGGCCATCTTTTCTATGAAAAGGCAGTGTTTACATGAAAATGCCTGCAGGGACTGTCTATACTTATCAGAACAACTAGAATGAGCAGTAGTTGTTCTGGGGGCTCTAAGGTCCCTTTAATAGAATACTACAAATATGCATACAGCTACACTGTTAATAAATATAAAACATACATAGCTAATTAAGTAGAATATGAAACAAATAAAAAATAATTGTACAAGACACACATGTGGCAACTATGCATTCACCAAAACAGCATTGTATAACCTGGAATGTGATATGTTTACCTGATGTGTGAGTTCATGAGCAATTACAGCTGCGACTCTCTGTTTATTTGTAGTGGCAGATTCATTAGGATCATAAAGAAGATTGGTTTCACGATATGTGATCAGTCCCCAGTTCTCCATTGCTCCAGTGCCAAAATCAGGTATTGCTATTTGATCTTTGTTGGAAATTAATACAAAGAAATTATAGACACACACACACAAAAATAAAAAAAAACACGAACTACAGTTGTCAATGCTGTGGATGCATTCTAAACAGTCAGTTAGGGAATGTGAATCAGTAAAATATATTAAAAGCTAATTTCTATTCTTGTCAGTAAATAGCTTCCGTAAGTGGTTGTTATTAACAATAGTTGATAACTAGTAGTGGCTACTAATTACTAACTGGTTTTCATCCTTGTTGCTGTTTTTTACCAGCTGACCGCCAATAATGTCTGGTCACAGAGATAACGACTGCTCATGATTTAGCCATTTTGTGCTGTCCCAGATGCATGTCTATGAAACGTTTGAGGTTAATACTTGCTATGTGATTTATGATTTATTTCTTCAAAGGGACCCTATAGTCACCAGAACAACTACAGCTTAATGTATTTGTTCTGGTGAGTATAGTCAGTGATTGCAAGCATTTTATGGTAAACACTGCCTTTTCTGACAAAAGGCAGTGTTTTTCAGAGAAAATGCGGTATTTACATTACTGCCTTGTAACACCTCTAGTGGCAGTCATTCAGGCAATAACTTTATACTTATAAAAAGACTAATGCTATATTTTCTTAAAACGTGTTTTAGGGTGCCAGTGCAATGTCATAAAGCTAACATTTTTTCTATAGAATGTATAGGGTGTTATGTATTAACCAGAAGTTGACATCAAGGTTTGAGGGTTAAGTTGCAGCTAACATTTTTTCATTAGTGTCTCGCTTGGTTTGTTACTCAAAACTTAACATCAGTTTAACTGCTGGCTGTTTATTTTTTAACACATAGCCTTCTAGCAATAGGTGAGAGGTATGTGGGAACCCTCACTGGATTCCCTTCATTAAAGTAAGCACCTGTCAATCTCACAGATGTTTAACCTAGCGGCTAATAGTGATGGGTGAGCTTTAAAATACTTCCTATATTTTATTTCTTAGCAGACCACTGTAAAGTCATTACACTAATTTAAACTATTATTGTGTGTATGCAATAAACCTGAATACATACCCAACTTTGGTAATGAATAGGACATGTTGAAATAATCTTCAAAAAAGTCAAATATAATTTTAGTGACATTAGCAGCATATTCAGCGGTATGTTTCTGTTCGGGTTGTACATAAATTCTTAGCTGGAAAAAGACAATATAAACCCATTACAATCTAGCAAACAGATCAAACAGGTCATGCAAAGGCATGTTTACCCATTGCGGTTATAAAATTGGTTTGTAGTTTGTAAAATACACTTAATTGTAACTGAAAAAAATGGTATATATTAAAAAAAGAAAATGACAATGTGTTAAACATATTATGTTTCAAGTTTATGATTAAGTGTATAATCAAGGTAAAAAAAACACCTATATTATAGAATTTTCTGAAATTAGTTTCTAAATGATTCTCTATTATATGTAAAACAAGAGAAGGCAACGTAGTCTCCCTAAAGTGTTAAAACTTTAATGTATGATATTTTTAGTATAACAAAGACACTACAAAGTTAAAAAAAAAAGTAAATGTATTTATCGCCACAAAATAAGAATTGTACATAAAGTTTTTTTATTTATAAAATAATGGTCCCATTGACTGCTGACCACAGCCAGTGAGGACTTCGCCTTCCCTGTCTACAACAAAGAACGAACCTTGTCAGCATTATCGCTGGAGACTGAGCATGTTGACTCTTTCTTTCCCCCTTTCCCCCTTCTTTCCCCCCCATTCTTCTTTTTTTCTTTCTCTCCTTCTTTAAGGCAATGGGATATATATCACGTTATTACAATCTGTTGCCCTGCGTGAGATTAAGTCTGAAGTGACAATGTCGTTTGCATTCTGTTTTACCTCTCATTGATCCAATGTTCCTTTTCCCTGCTGATTATTAAGGGACCTGCGAGTCCCTTTCTCTTATGGTTTGGGACGTGCAAGTCTCCTAATAAGGAAACTATATTGCTTTTTTTGTGATAACTGCTTTAATTTATCATTTATGTCTGACATAACTACTGCGGACCTGCGCGTCACATTCTCTATGGTTTATTTATGTTTACTTTACGACTAAAATGTTTAAAAAATTAAACAAAAAAAATGTCAATATAAATATGTTTACAAAAATTATATATAAAATAATGTAAAAAAATATAGAAAAGCAAGACTGCATATGACAGATGGCTGGATATAAGAAGGTATGAATGTATAGCCTGCAGGCAGAGGCATTTACTAGTAGAGATGCATTAACATAGGAGAGCCACCTAGAATTGTTATTGTTAAGAATAGCTCCCCGGTTTCCCCTGAGCCTCATCATGCCTATGGGCGATGTAATACCCACAGCTGGGTAGGTATAAAATGCTAATAGGTTTCCATGGTCAACATCTGTATGCTACTTACATTAGCTTGCATTGATACAGACCATCAGATAGCATTTACAGTTTCGTGACTTGTAAGTGTGTCAAGAAAAAATACACCTTTTCTAATTAATTTCCACAGCAACTCTATTTCAGGTTCACATAGCATATGTGCAATATAAATAGCAAATTATTATTCTATAGAACCTTTTATTTGGACTGCATGATCAAAAATTGTAACTTACAGGAATCCCCCGTTTCGATATTTCTTCTAAATATGTGAACTGATGTACTGCAAAACACACCAAATAGGTGCTCATGGGAACTGATTTCATAAACACGGTTTTGTTCCATCCGTTTCCAAGATCCTCAGTCGCCTAAAGAAAATAATTAGCCCAATATTACACGTTTATTATTATTAACATTATTTAATAATTATTAAGCAGTTAACATTTATAGAAAGGGGATATTTAGGGGTTCAGCAGCTTAACAATTGATCATATATAAATTAAGATTCACAATAAACAACAAAATGATTATACCTAGAATGAGAGTAAGAATTATTGTTTTTGTTTGAGAATACTGTCTCATAGAAGCAATGGTAAACCTTGCATACCTTTAATGTCATTCCCTTTGAGATTGTAAACATGTTTGGGCAGGGCCCTCTTTAACTACTCTTTCTGTATTTAGCTATTGTACAACATGACAGAATATGTTGGCACTATATAAATAATAATTTTTGTATTGAGTCTTAAGCTTTTTTGAATGAAATGACAAATGCTATTTAAACATGACCTGTGATGCAGGGGTTAAAGCAATTCCAGAACAGGTACTACACAGATCCAACAGATCCAAATAGAGTGTGAAAAATAATACAGAAAATGGGCACCATTGTTCTATAGGGTAATACATATTCTGTATAAGTATCATAGATATTTTCCCATAATGCACTGTGTGCACTATATATACACACACACACACAAAATACAGAAAACACGTGTTCCGATGACGAATCTCCCTGCGTCTCTGTCTTCCTTTTTTCTTAAAATCAAAAGGCTCTTGCAGAAGTGCGCAGCGTAACTGCTGATTGGCTGAGAGCAGTAAGCTGATGCTCTCAGCCAATCAGTGACTCCCCATTCATAAAACTGACTTGAAAAGAAACATTCAGAAGTTAGGTTTTGGGGTTAAACTCTTCTTAGTTTAACCCCTTAAGGTGAGACAGTGCTAACGACCTCCTGGCACCATAAAAACTTCATTTTGATTAAGTTATTATAGTGCCTGGAGTGTTTGTTTAACTCTATATACAGTGGAACCTCGGTTCTGAAACGTGCCCTTACTCGAACAATTTGATATTCAAACAAAAGATTTGAACAAAACTCGGTATCAGAACAAAACTCGGTATTAGAACAAAATCACACAGCACTAACCTCACTGGTACTGCTTTTGAACCTCGTTGGTATGACGCATCGGCCTCCTAGCACTAGACAAAGCGAACAGAGCTCCATTCTGTCTGCGAACAGAGCTCCATTCTGTCAGCGAACAGAGCTCTATTAGTCAGCAAACAGCCCCATTCTGTCAGCAAGCAGAGCTGACAGGTAAAGTGAAGTTACATTTTTATTTCATTTACATTGTATTTATTGGTTTTCTGTATGATTTTATGCACGTAAGGTATTATTAAACTGTAAAGTTTGTGTTAAAATTCTGTTATTTTGGGGGTCTGGAACGGATTAATCTAATTTACATTCATTTAAATTTTGATTTGGTTTTCGAAAAAATCGGTTCTCAAACAGCCTTCTGGAACGGATCAAAGTTCAAGTTCTGAAGTTCCACTGTACATCAATTTTTAGTTTTGATATTTTGCATACCTGTATTGGCATATTTGACAATGCATTATACTCTTTCTCATGAATGATGGTTATGGTATATGTTGCTTTTTTGTTGGGTTCGTCAAAGCAAGGGAAGGACTTCCGTGCATCAGTCGGTTCATGGTCCGCAGCTGCGATACTCCTTTTAAAAAGAAAACAAATATTTAATAAAGAGTTTGGGGTTAATATTTAGTGTTAGTACAGTGTATAGATTAATGTTTAGTGTTAGGGTTGGGGTTACAATTTCATAACTACTAATCTTTCCAGGACAGAGACGGGCAGGGCCGGACTGGCCCACCGGGGTACTGGGAAATTTCCTGGTTGGCCGCGGCACCTGGGACCAGGCAGACAACCCAGATCATGAGGCTACTGTAATTTAAATCATTTTCCCCTTGGACTGTGCCAGCCTGTGTCAGTTTGAGGGGAGTAAAGAAGGAGGAGCTGGGGGCTGCTGCAGACGCAATTAGGCTGCCCGCAGCTGGAGGGAGACCTGTCAATCTCCCTGCACTATTTACCTAAATTTAGTCTGCATGCCCCGCCTCTAAATGCAAGCCCCACCTCCTGAACAGAAGCTCCGCCTCCAGTGCAAAGCTCTGCCCCCACACGCACGTTGCTGACCTCTCTTGGAGGAAGAGGTCACAAAATGGCAATGGAGGGGGCGGAGCTTGCCGCGCTATCGCATGGACGTGTTCTGAGTGAGCTCCGTCCGAGCCGACCGGGAATCCGCTAACATCGGGCACAAACAACACGATGGGCCACCCAAAAAGAGCCTCCACTGCCCAGCACACCACCTCTAAGCAGCCGGTAACCAAATCCGGGGCGCTCACGAAATTTTTCCGCGATAATGCGGACCACCAAGCCGGCGCGCTAGGCCCAATATGGCGCCGGAATCCCCGCACGACGGCTCAGCCCCTTCGAGCCCGGAGGGCTCAGATGCCTCACAATACCAACCAGATAGTGGCCTGAAAGAAGTGCTGCGCAACCTGCCATCCAAGGCAGACATCGCCGCCATGCTAGACAGGCTGGAGGTATCGTTCCAGACCAAACTGGAATCCCTGGGATCTGATATCCGCCAAGTGAAAGAGAAGGTAAACACCCTGGAAGACGATAGAGACTTACTGACCTCACAAATGCAACACATGCAGGATACAATTCAATCACACACAATGCATTTATCTGCCATGCACAGAATAATAGATGACATTGACAACCGAGGACGCAGGAACAACCTGAGAATCAAAGGGCTGCCCGAACAAGACCAAGAAGACCTCCATGCCACGTTAGCCGACATGTTTAACCGCATCCTGGGTCAAACGGAGGACACACCGATCCTGTTGGACAGGGCGCACAGGGCCTTAAAGCCTCGCGGTACCCAGAGAGACCAGCCGCGTGATGTGGTATGCAGGGTACACTATTTCTCCACAAAAGAAGAAATACTTAGAGCCCTGCGACAAACCTCACAACCGCTACTATATCGGAATGACCCCATCCAAATCTTCCCTGACCTCTGCTGGCACACATTTCAAGCACGCCGCACACTGCGCCCTCTCACAGAAGCGCTAAGAGCCAGGAATATTCGATACAGATGGGGGTTCCCCCTCGCTCTCATTGCCACACACAATGGCAAAACGCACTCACTGGCATCAGCACAAGACATTCGGATATTCACAAGAGCTCTAGACCTTCCAGACATCCAAATCCCCGACTGGTACGGTGTCATGCCGACAGCTCCATCAGCCCCACTGCAACAGAGACAAAGGTGGCAAACCCCGGGAAGGAAGAGGAGGAATGACCGACCAGATAACTCGCCAAGCTCCAGCCCACCTACATGCACACAAAATCGCCACTAAAGTCCTTCAGCTCGCCCAGATTGTGGACCGCCATCACTGAACCGACTTCATGCTATTCCTCATCACTACCCTTCTAAATGAACTTTCTACACGCAAAGACCATCTCTGACACGTCTTCTCCGGCCTCGACACTCCCAGCAGTGCCCTCTCCCATTGGCACATCCCATGCGGACCCTGTGACGGGACTGATTGACTACCCTCCCGGTTTACTCATCTGACACCGGTCCGCCACCCACACGGACCCTACGAGTGCTCATGTGCTCCGCCACCACGACCAGGGACACGTAAGATGCTATGCAACCCACTCCAATCCTATCCCCTCCGCCTACCCTTACTCCCACTATGCTCCATATTATGTACCCTACAAAATTTTAACGTTCTAATGTATTAATGAAATATCTTTGCATGCACCATTGTGATGTAAGCCTTTCGGCCCCAGGGTCCCTTTTAACCGCTTCCAGCGAGGCAACTGCTGTAGGGGCACCATCTCCCCTACTACCTTAATACAGTGTTGAACGTTTACAATCGAATACGATGTATCCCACATGGACCCTGTATAACTCATTGTACTTAGTGATGCAATTTCTGTTTTTTTAATAACGTATCTTTTGGTGTCACTGATGGGAGCCTTCCCACGCGCCTCACACCAGTTGTCCTCACCTGCGGATCTACGCCCAGGACAGACCGAGGCGTGGGGGAAGGCTCGGCGGACTGGCTCCAAAACTGTAATAGACTGTTCTCTTCTTTGTTAGTTGTTTACTGTTCCTTTTGTTCCCATCTCGTCACACTGGAAGGGGCCCAAGAGCGTAGCTAAACACCCGTCCTGGCCAACCAAGACAGGCTACTCATATCGCCAGAAGGTCACCCTTCAGGCCCCACACAATCCCTAACACCCTCCCTCCCACCTATAAGCCACTCTACAACATCATAACTTCCAGAGAGGGATGCCAACCCCGAACCCCACCAACCGAAGTCGCACCTCACCACTCCAAGCAATGACTAAGGGTCCACGATCCCCAGCCCATCTACGACTTTCTTCCATACCACAGAGGATTCCCCACCCCCGACCGCTCGGACGAATCTCTCATCTCACACGCAGAGATCCCATCTGCCCCCCCCCCTCCACAAACTACACTCTTCACACAGGCATACACCCCCCCCCCCTTACCCGAGACGTCGGGTACTTTCTCAACAACTGAGTAATCAATACTGGAAAACCACCCCAGTAGAGAGGCAACTACAACAATCCCCGGCTATCACCTGTAAATACCCGAGGACCGTTGCCATCGCTACCAGTTGTCCTGGAAACACATAACTCTATAAGGACTCGCTAAACAGGTGTTTCCTTATTTGTAAATAGTTAGTATTTTACTGTTTAACCCCCCCCCCTCCCCCAAGGTCCGAGTTCAAAGACCTTCCACCCCCCCCCCCTCCCAAAGACATGGCCACTCTACGAGTAATCTCTCTAAACGCAAGAGGCCTCAATCTCCCCGAAAAGCGCTCACAAGTGCTATCAGAACTCCAGGCTCAGCACGCAGACATAGCATTCCTTCAGGAAACTCACTTCAAAGAAGGTGTAGCACCCACGCTCCATAACAAGCGCTACCCCACAGGCTATTTTAGCAATTACTCAGACTCCAAAGCGAGAGGAGTGGCCATATTAATAGCTGCCAACACTCCGTTTATATATAAAACCCACGAAACCACGGCCTCTGGGCGGCTACTTATGCTCAAAGGACAAATCGGCAGCACCACGATCACACTAGTCAACCTATATCTCCCTAACAGAAGACAGGGCAAATCACTTAGCAAATATCTCCACATGGTGGAGAGATTCACAGAGGGTATTCTTCTCCTTGGAGGCGACTTTAATATTTCCCTCGACACAACATTGGACACCACATCCACGGCCTCTTCCTACCACTCCACTGCCAGGAGAAGAATCACCTCGCTTTTAGATGACACACGCCTCTTCGACATCTGGCGCACCACACACCCCACGGCCAGAGACTATTCATTCTACTCACACGCAACTAAAACATACTCACGCATCGACATGCTATTCACACAACACCGGTTTCTCCACTTAGTGCAATCATGTGACTATGGTCCCATCACATGGTCAGACCACGCACCCCTGTCTCTTGCCATTCGCATCCCTAACCTGCCACCAAAATCCTTTCATTGGAAACTGAACGACCTACTGCTAAACAATACTGAAGTCACTGATAAAGCCCGTACCACTATCTCGCAATACTTCCAAGAAAACGCTCACCCCTCCACGTCACCCACCATCCTATGGGAGGCACATAAATGTGTCCTCAGGGGCCACCTCATAGCGATGGCCTCCAAACTCAAAAGACAACGCACCGAGAAAGCCACCCTACTACTAACTGAAATTAGAACCCTGGAAAACTCCCACAAACGTAATAACGCATTAGACACATACAAACTACTCGTTGAGAAAAGGTCAGAACTCCAACAAATTACCAACGCCAAATTCAAACAGCAGACGCTTTTTACTAAACACTCATACTACTCCCAAGGCGGTAAATGCGGACGCCTTCTAGCCAACGCACTCCGCGACACGAAACAATCCACCTTCATATCCAAAATCAAAACACCATCAGGAGACACGTCCCATAAACTCCCGGATATACTCAAAGCCTTCCAAGAGTTCTATGCCGACCTCTATAACATACGTAAAACCCCACCATCTAGACTCGAACTGGAGCAATACCTTGCTCCCCGAATCAAGCAGACAGTACCCAACAACCTCCTACAACACCTAGAGGAACCGATACACATAGATGAATTCCTTCAAATTGTACGCACCTCTCCCCTAGGGAAAAGCCCTGGCCCAGATGGCTTCACTACCAAATACTATAAGACGTTTTCAGACCTGCTCGCCACTCCCTTCGTGACAGCATATAATTCCCTGATCACCTCCCCTTCCCTACCAGACTCCACACTTGAGGCACACATTACACTCATCCCAAAACCCGGGAAAGACACTTCCCTCTGCGGAAGCTACCGCCCAATTTCCCTCATTAACAACGACCTCAAACTCTTTGCCAAGATTCTCGCCAACCGTCTCCGCCCCCTCCTACAGGGGCTAGTCCACCCTGACCAGGCCGGCTTTGTGCCCGCACGGGAAGCCAAAAACAATACCACTAAGCTGCTCAACTTAATACATCTAGCCCACAGATCGAACACACAGAGCCTACTATTAGCGATCGACGCTGAAAAAGCGTTCGACAGGGTGGACTGGTCCCTCATGTTCGCCACAATGGAGGCAATTGGCTTCGGCCCCCACTGGCTACAATGGCTACGCTCTATATACTCTAGGCCGCGTGCACGCATTAGAGTAAATGGCCATCTATCCGACCCATTCCCAATCACCAATGGCACGAGACAGGGGTGCCCGCTGTCACCACTCCTTTTTGTACTCATCATGGAACCCTTCCTTCAAGGGATTAGAGACAATCCGGCCATTCACGGTTTTAAGGTGCAAAATCATGAATACAAGATAGCAGCTTTTGCTGATGACCTGCTGTTACACAACCGCTGAATTCTATGCCACAAATCCTACAGGAAATCACCTCCTACCATAGGGTCTCCAACTTCAAAGTCAATTATACGAAAAGCGAAATCCTCCCCCTAGTCCTCGCCAACTCCACCAAATCCACCCTTGGAAACTCCCTCCCGTTCCTCTGGGCGCCCAGGGATGTCAAATACCTGGGAGTACACCTACCAACCCATCTCACAGATTTATACGACCTAAACTTCCCACCACTGCTACAGACTATTTCTCGGGACCTGACCAAGTGGCACAAACCACACTTCGGGTGGCTTTGCCGCATTAATATTATCAAAATGAATGTCCTCCCCAAACTTTTATATCTTCTCCAAACCCTCCCCATTGCACTACCGACATCCTTTTTCAACGACATTAAGAAGACCTTCACCCGCTTTATATGGTCGCATTCTCCCCCTAGGCTCACATACAACACTCTTACAAGCCACAAACTCCACGGGGGCCTAGGCCTCCCAGACGTAGAACTATACTACAAGGCTACTATGTTACACAGAGTATACGAATGGACCATCCCCAACAACCCCAAACATTGGGTGATCCTTGAAAAATCTGCCTTTCAACATCCCCTCCTCACTATCCCGTGGCAAAGAACAGGGACAATCTCCCTCTTGCAAGCTCACACAAAACACCCCACAATCATACCCACCCTTAAAGTGTGGTCACAAATAAGAAATAAACTAGGCATATCCCCCCACCCATCTCCCCTCTATCCACTGACTTACAACCCGGACTTCACGCCGGGCCTCTCCCCTTCCTCCTTTGCTGCGTTCCCACACACCCACTACCTGCAATTACGCACCCTACTTGACGACCAAGGAATTAGACCCCCTAACGCGTTCTGGGAAGATACGCAACCTACGACCCTACAAAAATTCCGCCACTCTCAACTCGCCCACTTCCTATCAACCACCCCCAATATCCTCCAGGGACACCGGCAACTCACCTCATTTGAACAACACTGTGTCTCCAGCGATATCAAAACGAAGCACCTCTCATCCCTATACAAACTGATGCAAACGGAAATATCGCCCGTCCTGCCCAAATACACAAAAGCCTGGGAATCCGATCTCAATCTTTCCCTAACACAATCAGACTGGAAACACGTGTTTTCCAATATACACAAAACAAGCATGAGCACGCACACACAGGAAGGGAACTTTAAACGACTATCCAGGTGGCACCTTACTCCTTCCAAAATACACGCAATCTTCCCGAATGCTTCTGTGCAGTGCTGGAGATGCCAACACCCCCAGGGAACCCCAAGCCACATATGGTGGACGTGTCCAGTCATCCGCACTTACTGGTCCAAAATCATTAAGATGATTCACACCATCACCAACGTACAACTACCCCAATCCCCAGAAATTGTACTCTTCCTCCTCCTCCCCCCATCAGTTCCCAAGAACACAAAACCCCTAACCAGCCACCTTCTCACAGCGGCAAACGCCCTCATCCCCAGCCACTGGAAAAAATCAGAAGCGCCCACCATCCGGACATGGATCAATAAGGTTGACTCCATACGCCTTTTAGAAGAAATACACTACTCGAGGTCACACTCATACAACACCTATGAACGCACCTGGAGCCCGTGGCTACACTTCCTAAAAACTGATGAGACCTCCAGAACACCAACTCCCAACTAACTTACTTAAAAAGCCTACACCCTCCCCACCCCCCCCTTCCACTCCCTTTATAGTTTGACAACTCTGGCTGGACACAATTTAGTGGGACTTAGTGGTTTCACAAAAGTATAAATTAGGAGGTTGAATCACATTTACTATGGCAAATCAACCAGCAACACCTGGTCTGTGAACCCACAGCACCCAGACTGGAACCTATACTTACCGACCCCACCACAACCGGTACGACCCCGACACAATCAAAACTAACTCAATTTATTTATCTCCTTCTTTCACGCCTCTAAGATCTCTATAACCTACCTGACACAAATAAGTTAGACAAGACCAGCCAGAGTGAAGTTAATGCACAATGTTAAATGTTTGAAAATTCACTGATGAATATTGTTTAATGCTCAGAACTAACCCATAAGTGCATAATGGAATGTGGACATCATACCTTGCGACCCGGAAGAATTCTTCCAACGACATTTCTCACACTACCTTGGCTCCACAACATGACACCATGTTCTGCTCATTATGTTATTTACTCTATGTTAACTCAATGTACAACTCTGTTTGTATGAAAAATTTTGATAATAAAGACTTTGAAATGAAAAAAAAAAAAAAAATGGCAATGGAGATTTGGCTGCACACACTGCTGACCGCATTTGCCTAAATAAAGATGTCCGCCGCCACGTGTTTGTTTGTACAAACGGCGGCCACCCAGCGGTCGGCAATTTACCTACAGCAACCTCCCAGCCTGCGAGGTAAATTAGCCGCACGCTTCCACTTCTGTGTGGTTCGCCTGTGCAGTACTAGGTTCAGTAAGCCCCATTTACTGAACCAAGTGGGAAAAGGATACGAACAAAGTATTTTAGGGGGCTGGGGACACAGTCTTAAAGGGGCATTGTTCCCAAAAGTCTCAATATGTCCCCAGGCGGTTCTTAAAGGGCCACACACACCAGGGCCATGGTCATGGGGAAGGAGGCTGGCAATTAGGCTTCTCCATAACCCAGGGAAGCAGGGCCATTTGTCACATAAAATAACAGTTGCAAAAGGCATTTTGTAACAATAATATATATTTAATAAATATATAAATATAGATTTTTATATATCTTTTTAATATTCTTTTTTCCCTTCTGTTGGTTCCTTCTTACTTCACTTGTGAAGAAAATTAATGTACTGGAAATTAGATATAATTATATAATATAAATATTTTGTATTTTGTAGTACAACTTTTTGTACCATTTTGGTTATTCTGTGTGGCGAAAGTAACCTCCCCGCTGGTTCTTGGAGGGGCCTATTTTCCAGCCTCCTACCCTGTGACCAGTGGCGTACACACAATCCATGGGTCCTGTCATGCCAAAAGCATGAGTTGGTGTTTGATGTGTGTTTATATATGTTAAGAGTAGTTTTTTTTGTAAACCTTGGGATGACATTTATTGTGGTCTTTGATCTTGCACCAGGCCTAGACCATAAAACATCTAGATAGCCATCACCAGAGCTGGACACAAGGAATTTCATAGAGTGGGCAATAGACTGCCAGACCAGCCCCAGGGGTCTGCCCACTGAGAAACAACTAGTTTAGATATATGAGGGTGTTGGACTATCCAGGGAAGTCAGTTATTCATTTTTCTTTTGTCAGTAACTTCTAGGAGATCTATACCATCTAAGACTCCCACAAGAATTCTATATGGGGTAAATATATGTAAGGAATTTCTTGTGTTTTCTCCTATTTTATTTTATGTACTGTTTTGCAATTTGTTATCTGTATGTCATTTATTTCTGTATTTTGTACTCAGCACTGTGAATCCTTTTTGTCAGATTAAATGTTTACTTAATCAGCTTGTGTCTCTGTTCTCTATGAGCTTCACTCTCCAGAGGAAAGCTCAGGTAAACACGTTACCAAAAGGGGTTAACTATATATGTTTTATCAGTAAAAGTAGAACTGTGATACTATAATTCTCCTGTGTGTGGGGTAACCTAAGACGCCCAGGTTTAAAAGTCTTGGTGGTGGCAGTAGTACTAAGGGGGATAGTGTAGAAGGGATTGCAGGGGTTAATTGAGTGGTTGCTGGGACTAGCAACAGGTAACCAGGGGTCTGGTGTCATTAACCCTGTCACTTCCACACTCTCCCCACTGTCTCGGCTGGGTCTATAGCCCACGCACGTGACAGGTCCCTAGTGTGAAACTGACCCATGGGCCCCTGTGATAAAACTGTTTGTGCCTTTTGGACTTCTGACATTATTTACTCAGTGACACTTCAAACTCCCAAAGCTGTTCGAAGTGGCACTTCGAACTCTCGAACTCCTGAAGCGGTTTGAAGCGGCATTCGAACAGGTGGCGGCGGCCATCTTAAGCCACGAGCACACTGAGCGGTGTTTGGTCGTCGAGTGGCGCGAACACCGCTAAACACCTACCTTCCACGGAGGTTCGTTATTCGAACGGCAGTTGAATGGCGTTCGGTGGGAATAAGCTCCCAAACCAGAAACATAGACTGAGCCTACTCCCGAACTTATAAGTTCGGTGTTTTGTATTCTGCTTCAAATTCCCAAAGTGGACCGACCGCACAGCCTGATTCTCGGGAACTGTTTTGGGCATGGGACCATGCCTGCTTTTGGTCAAAATGTGACGTCCATAGAATTCCTGAACCCCTGAACTGATCTGGGTGCTTTTTCTATATGTTGGTCAAACAGATCAGGGCTATCAGGGGATGTAACATTTGTGGGGATGTTATGTGCAGAGGGGAGAGATTGTATGCTATGTGTGGGAGTGTTATGCAGTATAACTCTGTTATTATTGGTTTGTGACTTTGTGTTGTAGTCTCAAACAAGGTCTATGGGGATTGTCATAAAATCATTAAATCAGTTCCTCTTGGCCCTCAACATAGAGCCTTGTCTTATGAATGGAGGGGGCATCTTTATTCACTCTGGGGATTGCTGTACTCGTGCTGTAACCCACACTCCCCTGGGTTCTAATCACTAGCTCATATAAGAGCTGTTCCTGCTATACCTGGAGTAGGAGAGGTTCACCCAGTGGAAGCTGGATCCTGGTCTGAGGTCCAGGGTGGGTGGAGGACGGCGAGCACTAGGAGCATCGATTGGCAGAGGCACCCAGTCGGGGTGCCAGGCGGTCCGTCACATTCTGGATTAGTCTTCTGGAAACAATTGCATGGATGAAATTCATCCAAACTAAAACACCATGTGAACAAAGCCCGCATCGCCCACCTATTAATAACTTCCCACTTAATCCATGAATAAATCACCATTTACTGGCTGTCCCTTAGCCATCAATTAACTTATTTCACTTCAATCATTTCTCCTCCATTATGGTCTTCTTCCTGCATGTCACCTGATCTCCCTCTCATACTGCAATTAAAAAGTACAGAGGGCTCACAGTGCAAGCTGGATAATCTTTCTGCTGATGTCAGTATTGTTAGGTCTATAGTTACCGTTGGGGTTAGCATTTGTGCAAGAGTATGGTAAGAGTTGGTGTAGGGTTAGTGTTTGTGTAGTTTAAGGTTTGATGTTGTGTTAGGGATAATGTAGAGTTAAGGTTAGTGTAGGTGTACGGTTAGAGTACGCAAAGAGTTAGAGCTAGGTTTGATTTAGATTCTAGGATATGTATAGAGTTGGCATTAAATACCAAAAATGTATTTCAAACTTAGACATATAAGACATTTAACAGCCAGGACAGATATGTAAATCTATTTTGATTTCTTTTTCCCTATTTGCACTTGAAGTGTAAAAATAATTATAAGCAAAATTGTGTAAAATGTTACTTTTTAAATCATTTAATATGTTACTGTTAATTCATGCGTATGGAATATTAAGTGAAGGTTATTTCTGTCCTTTAATTAACAATATATAATATGTCCAGCTGCAGTTAAAGAGAAACCCTTAAATAATAATGGAACAAACACATAGCACCAATTCTGTTTTGTTTTCACGAGTTGGACAATTGCATCCATCCTTAAGGTGTTCAAGTGCCTTTTATTTTTGTTAAATTCTGCCGTTTATGTAGTCTGCTACTGTAAGACGGTATTGTTAGTAACTGATATTATTTTGTGCAAAAAATTTGTAATTGAAATTTGAAATAAGTAGAAGTAATCCACAGTTAATCAGAAAATGAAGATAGAGACAAGAAGTTAAAGGAACACTCCAAGCAATGTAACAACTGCAACAGGGTATAGTGGGTATGCTGCCAGGTTTGCTCCCAAGGTAAGTAGTCAAACAATGGTTATATTTACATCTCTGTGGGCTCAGAATTCTCAATCACCTCTTTCAATCGGATTTTCAGCATTGCTGACACCGTTTCAGTGTGAGAATACGCAGCCTGAATGCAAGAAAAGGCGGGGATGAAGCTACAAACCTGCAGGGGCGGCCTGCAGATCCGGATTAGTGGGCATGGGGGTAGGGAAGCTACAGATCAGGTAAGGTGAGGACATGGGGACAGCCCAGATCAGGTAAGTGAGCATGGGTGGGCAGCCTTCAGATCAGGTAAGTGAGACATTGGGGGAGCAGCCTGGGTCATTAGAGGTGGTATGGGGGGCACCTACAGATCAGGTAAGTGAGGGATGGGGGGCAGTCTACAGATCAGGTGAGTGAGGGATGGGAGGGCAGCCTACAGATCAGGTAAGTGAGGCATGGGTGGGGAGAAAGCCTACAGGAAGGTAAAGTAGCAGGAGTAGAAATGAGCAGAAAGGTTCTGCAAGGGGCAGGAGGGGTCAGCAAGAAATAGGTAGAAGCAGGAAGGGGCAGCAAGAAGCAGGAAGGGGTATGAAATGTTTGCAAGGAGCAGAAGGGTAAAGTAGAAGGAGCAGACATGAGCAGGAAGGGGCAGCAAGGAGCAGGAAGTGTCAGCAAGAAGCAGGAGGGGTCAGCAAGCAGTAGGAAGGGTCTGCAAGGGGCAGGAGGGATCAGCAAGGAGTAGGAAGGGGCAGCAAGAAGCAGGAAGGGGTAGGAATGGTCTGCAAGGAGCAGGAGAGTCAGCAAGGAGTATGTAGGGTTTGCAAGGAGCAAGAGGGGTCAGCAAGGAGTAGGAAGAGGCAGCAAGGAGCAGGGAGGGTCTGCAAGGACCAGGAAGGGGCAGCAAGGAGAAAGAAGGGGCAGCAAGGAGCAGGAAGGGTCAGAAAGAATCAGAAGGAGCTCAAAGGTAAAGTCAGAGAAGAAACAGAAAGGGTCTACATGGAACAGAAAGGGTCAGCAAGGGGCTGCAAGAGGCTGGCAGGGGCAGAAAGAAGCAGGAAGGGGCAGCAAGAAGCGGGAAGGTTCTGCAATGAGCAGAAAGGGGCAGGTAGGGACAGAAGGAGCACAACGGTAAAGGAGCAGAAAGAATCAGAAGGAGCACAAAGGTAAAGTAGGAGAAGGAGCAAAAAAGAACAGCAAGGAGCAGGAAGGTAAAGTAAGAAAATGAGGAAAAAGGAGAAGAAACAGAAATGAGCGGGAAGGGGCAGCAAGGACCACAACGGTAAAGGAGCAGAAAGAATCAGAAGGAGCACAAAGGTAAAGTAGTAGCAGGAACAGAAAGTGTCTAAAAGGAGCAGAAAGTGCAGCAAGGAGCAGGAAGGGACAGAAGGAGTCAAAAAGGTGAAGGAGCAGAAAGAATCAGGAGCACAAAGGTAAAGTAGGAGAATGAGTAGAAAGGAAAAATAACAGAAATTAGCAGGAAGGGACATCAATGAGCAGTGAGGGTCAGCAATGATCTGAAAGCGGCAGAAGGAGCAGAAAGTATTAAGAAAATTGGGCAGACTAGATGGGCGAATGGTTCTTATCTGCCGTCACATTCTATGTTTAAAGTAGGGAAAGGAGCAGGAAGGGACAGGAGGAGTGCAAAGGTAAAGTAGCAGAAAGAATAAAAAGGAGCAGAAAGGAGAAGGAACAAAGGTACAAAGGTAAAGAAGGAGAAGGAGCAGAAAGGAGAAGGAACAGAAATGAGCAAGAAGGGAAATCAAGGAGCAGAAAGGGTCAACAATGATCTGGAAGGGGCAGAATGAGCACAAAGGTAAAGTAGGAAAAGGAACAGTAATGAGCAGCAAGAAGCAGGAAGGGGCAGCATGGAGCAGGAAGGGTCTGCAAGAAGCAGGAGGGCGAAGCAAGGAGCAGAAAGGGGCTGCAAGAAGCAGGAAGGGTCTGCAAGAAGCTGGAGGGTGCAGCAAGGAGCAGGAAGGGACAGCAGGGTGCTGGAAGGGCCTGCAATGAGAAGGAAGGGTCTGCAAGGAGCAGAAAGGGATCAAAAAGAGAAAGAAGCAGAAGGGTGCAAAAAAAGCAGAAAGTAGCAGAAAGGTAAAGGAGCAGAAGGAGCCAAGGAGGAGAGAAGACCGTGTTAGAAGAAAAAGAAGACTGTCAAATGAAGGAGAAGAAAATGAGATTGGAGCAGGAAGGACAAGTGCAGTGATCCCTCCACTTCATTCTGGACACCACATCATAAGGCGTACCTGGGCCTGGCAGGGAAACTTTGGACCTTCTCATCTCCCCAGGTAAAAAAATATCAGTGTTAATGTGTTCACTTTTATTAATGTGTTTTACTTTTAGTGTCCGGAAACACAAAGGGCCACTGGGTAGGGGTGCTGCTGATTGGCTAGAGGGTCAGCTGGCACTCTAAGCCAGTCAGTAGCTCCCCATTCATACAAACGTAAAACATTTTTATGAATCGGGAACTAGCGATTGGCTTAAAGCATCAGGTGACTCTAGCCAATCAGAGGCACCCATGCCTGATGTCAATCTGCACTTCCTGACACTCCGTTTCAGAATCTGAATACCACTGAGCGACCTGGAGATCTGGAGCTGGAGGAAGCCTTTGGGGTTAAACCATTTGAAACATAGAAACATAGAATGTGATGGCAGATAAGAACCATTCGGCCCATCTAGTCTGCCAAATTTTTTAAATACTTTCATTAGTCCCTGGCCTTATCTTATAGTTAGGATAGCCTTATGCATATCACACGCATGCTTAAACTCCTTTACTGTGTTAACCTCTACCACTTCAGCTGGGAGGCTATTCCATGCGTCCACTACCCTCTCAGTAAAGTAATACTTCCTGATATTATATTTAAACCTTTTCCCCTCTAATATAAGACTATGTCCTCCTGTTGTGGTAGTTTTTCTTCTTTTAAATATAGTCTCCTCCTTTACTGTGTTGATTCCCTTTATCTATTTAAATGTTTCTATCATATCCCCCCTGTCTCGTCTTTCCTCGAAGCTATAATGTTAAGTTCCTTTAACCTTTTTTTTTTCCTTGTAAGGTGAGAGCGGTTTCACCCATTAAAGGAAAGAGAGCGCCCAGGGGTCTCCTTCCATAATAGCATTTTCATTTAGATGAAGTTGTTATGATGACCAGAATGTTCCTTTAATTTGATTAAAGAAACGCTATAGTGTCAAGAAAACAAACATGTATTCCTGACACTCTGGCTTTATGTGATAATGATTTTGCTCCTCCCCTTCATGACACTGTCAAAAAGGGGCCAAGCATGGATGTCATTACAATTATGCCACCCCCTCCCCCGGACAAATTCCTGCAGACGCCCATGTCTATCCCCCCACCCCAAGAAAAACTGTTTTTTGTTGCTTACTCCATGATTTGGAGAAATTACCACATCATAAAATGGAAATTTATAGTAAATATAGCTAAAGGGAAAATTCTACATTAGTATTTAAGGTATGTACCCCTAGTAGAAAGATATCTATAGGCAGTTGCCTGCTCTGCCTACTTGAAATTTTGGGACTGATCCATGCTCCACAATTGTTTCTTTTCTACGGCTGCTTAGTCAGCATCTTTAACAAACCCATATTTGGCATTATGTCACATGCCGATGTCTGCCTCACAAATGCACCTATAAAGCCCCACACAAACACTTCCCCATCTGCAGATATGCTCCACACTTTATGTTGTGGTGTCTTGTCACCAACCAGGAGATAACTGGGACAGCACTGAGGTGAAAAGGAGTGGGGAAGACAATTGCTCACTCTTTGTTTTCAAATTTACTTCACGTTTCACTCACCCTCCTCACATGTACGCCCCCACCTTCTGCACACACATACATTTGCAGCACCACTTAACGAACCCCCTTAATGGACCAGTGCTGTTCCACACCGGATGCCAGTCGCATTTTACCACCAGCCAAATTTATGTTTGTCTAAAATTGGTCTCTAATGGAGAGAGAACAGTTTTCGCCCAGTTCTGCTAGTTTTTGTTTTCAAACCTACCACCCAGCTCCCCTCCACTGCTTTCTAATGTTACCTCCCCAAGGGTAAAAACAAACTACAAAACACATATACTTGCAATATATTGTTTTAAGAAAATAAACTTAGTTGTGTAAAGTGCAATTTTTTCCAAATTATTTATTTACTCTACACTGCACTCTATCTTTTTTTCCTCTGCCAAACACATCATTGTCTTAAGCTTTGAAGAAATATATTATGTTGTATTGGTCACTCTTATGATAAATGATACATAATTGATTAAGGATATGATGAACGACTACTTAAACTTTTCTATCTTCTATTGTACATATACATGTAATGTCAACATTTGTCTACTGACTGCTCCTCATATAAGCCTTATTGTATCCTCTCCCTCTTGTCTGTGAGACATATGCAGGCAAACTCTATCGATTTTTTTTTTTTTTTTAAGAAAACTATGTACACCTTATATATTAGTAAATTATCAGCATCCTTTGCACCAATAAACTGAGAATTGCTAAATTGCATTATGCAATAATGATTACTGTTTTTATTTTGCTTCTAAAGATGTATTAATGCACTGGGTTTGCATTGTTTTTGTCTTGCAGGGTAAATCATTAAGGTGAGAATTCAAAGTGAATTCAGCAAATTTCACATTTAAGCCCAACATACACTAGCTGAACTGAAGAATTCAGCTATGCTTCCAGTTCAGCTACTTTGGCCTAGAATTTGAAATTCACTTTGAACTCTCACTTTAGTGCATAACCCTGTTAACATCTGTGCCATTTACAAATTGATATTTCTAATAGGGCAAAATCCGTAAAGTGGACCAAACAGGAACTTTACATTTGTTCCCATGATTATGACATCACTTTTTAAACCTTGCTTTTGTTTTTTTTTAACATTAAAATCACCTTTTGTATCATTTGATGATGTATACTGGTTGGTGTTATCGATTTAAGTACTAAATTGGATTATTTCAATTATTACTTATTTTCAAACCTTATTGATGCACATTTTCAATGTTCTACGTTTCCAAAAAAATCATTACTGCAAATGTTTCTTTGTTTCTCTACTATATAAATATAAGCAGAACATGACAGGTTTAATTATCGTGGAATCTCAGACACTTTGACAGCTGTGTCTGTGCTGACACTAACAAAAGAGCTTTCTCATCTCCAACATGATTAAAGTAAACAAAATAAATGAGGCCCCTAACTTTCCTGAAATGGATAAGTGCTAAAGAAGCAAAGTTAGTTCTCGGATTTCATCTCATAGTTTCATTGTTCTTCATTTAGAGTATATTGAATTGTTTTGATGCATTTTGCCAGATTTAGTAGTTTTAAAAAATATTCTAAACACTCTCTATATATATTGCTTTTTTGGATTGGAGAAACAAACAATGATTTAATTCAATACCCTTTTATATTGTTTTGCTGATTGTCTAAAATAGAAACACATGTTCAAAGTATTCCTGCTTAGTGAATAAAACTGGTAAATCAGGAGAAAGACTTGTAGACCTGTATATTGCCATTTCTTTGAAAATGGCCTAATGTTATAGCCAGGACCGGCGCAACCTCTGGGATATTTTCTGGTGGGCTTACCCTGTCCTGGGCCGCAGCGCTGGTTCAGCGGCTCTAGAGCACCCCCCCTCAGCGCTGGGCCGATCCTCCAGGCGCCCAAAAATGGGGGTGTCGAGAGGAGCCCTGTCACAGGGGGCCCAAGAGGGGGCCATTTGGCCACCTCAGGGCTCCCTCGATGCTTTCCTTTAGTATGGCAGAGCAGGCACCTACTTACCCTGATGGCAGGTGCCTGCTTTGCCAATGAATGCCAGAGGAGAGGACGCAGACAATGAGGCTCTTCTTGCAGCTCCCCACTCCTCCCTTGCGCGCCCTCTGTGATGCTGGGAGCCGGAATATGATGTTATTCCGGCCCCAGCATACTAAACAGCACTAGAGGAGTGGGGAGCTGCCGCACACTAGACCCCAGGGAGGTAGGGAGGCTGGATGTCTGAGTCTGTGTATCAGTGAGTGTGTGAGTGTTTGACTGTTAGTGAGTGTGTTTGTAGGTGTTTGTGTGTCTGTCAGTAAGTGAGTGTATGTATGTATGTCATAGAAACATAGAATGTGATGGCAGATAAGAACCATTCGGCCCATCTAGTCTGCCCAATTTTCTAAATACTTTCATTAGTCCCTAGCCTTATCTTATAGTTAGGATAGCCTTATGCCTATCCCACGCATGCTTAAACTCCTTTACTGTGTTAATGTCAGTGAGTGTCTGCCTGTGCCTGTGTGTGTCTGTCAGTGAGTGTGTGAGTGTTTGACCGTCAGTGTGTGTGTGCCTGTCTGTCAATGAGTGTCTGCCTGTGTGTGTGTGTGTCTGTCAGTAAGTGAGTGTGTGTATGTCAGTGAGTGTCTGTATGTGTGTGTATCTGTCAGTGAATGAGTATATGTATGTCAGTGAATGTCTTTCAGTGAGTGAGTGTATGTCTGTCAGTGAGTGTATGTCTGTCAGTGAGTGTGTGTCTGTCAGTGAGTGTCTGTGTGTTAGTGAGTGAGTGTATGTCTGTCAGTGAGTGTATGTCTGTCAGTGAATGTGTGTCTGTCCGTCTGTCAGTGAGTGTGTGTGTCTGCCAGTGTGTGTCTGTCAGTGACATGAGGGGGTGGAAAAATGGATCTTTGCCTAGGTTGGCAGAAATCATTGCACAGGCCCTGGTTACAGCTTGGAGTAGCATGCATTTAGGCCAAGAACCAGTATCTGTATAGTATGACAAATGTAGCACGTTGATAGAACATTAGATAAATGGCTAGAGGAAGTAAACTTGTTAAAGAGGCATGCATTACTGTCATCATCAGTGAGACAGTTGCCCCACTCTACAGGCTAAAAAGAGCAGGTATATAAGATGTTATGCTTATTTACATGCTTCTTCTTTTTTATGCTTTCCACACTTACTCCAGGGGGCACTGATCTAACCAATCAGTGTCCTATCCCTAGGAATGCTGGTAAAGTGCATTGGGCATGTCTAACAGATTTGCACATGCTGTATCACTTCATCTTGCGACATCTTGACAGGGGGAGAAAAGGGAGTCTGATCAGTGTGGTCATGCAGAGCAGGCTCCAATACTGGGTTTCTCTCATCTGCTACTGCACAATGAGTGGATACTTACAGAACTGACTGTGTCTGTCATACTGGTCTAAAAATTAGATTGGTGGGTAAGAACTTAGGGGCTGATGAAATAGATGTTTATCACATACTTTTAACATTTTTCATGCTTTATTTTGGTTTGTATATTTGTATAAAAGTGTTTGTTTTAAACAAATATGCATGTCCTTTCAATGTTCTGGAACAAAATTTCAAGTCCCTTCCACATCTATTTATTGTCAGGTGCCTTAAGTTAAGAAGGTTTTGGTACCGGCTAGGCAGAAAATTATGTCATGGCTAATTTAGAAGAATGCAGAGAATACGATGTTTTCTTCGGTTACTGTTCTGGGTTATCACTTTGGAAGTCAGGCTAAGAAAATAGTTTTCACAAGAAATCGGACGATAATGAGAGATTTTTCATTATGTCACTGGGCAGTTGATTACATGACTTCTCATCTTATGCCAGTGTTGTACAACTAAATATTTTATCACAGGCTGTCCTAAAACAGCCCTATTCATTCATGTATTTGGGTTAGTTTATGCCAAGGCCTTAGACACAGTAGACCATGGCATTCTTTTACTAAAACTTAAAAACTCAGGTATTGGTGATTGTCCACTAACCTGGTTTCGATCTTATTTATCAAGCAATCGAAATATGTGACCATTTCTGATAGTGCCTTCCTCCCTCTCCCTGTCACGTGTGTGTCACTTTACTCAAACCTAGGTGCCCTGTGCAGAAACAAATCCTGACTAAGCCCTTCAGTAAAGAAACAGATAGTGCATCAAATGCTAATGGCGGTCATTGATTATGGGGATGTAATATATGCCCCAGTGCCTCAAACTCACCTTAATAAACTTAATACGTTATATAATTCGTTCTGCCACTTTGTACTAGAATGTAATTACTTAACCCACCATTGTGACATGTTAAAAGAGCTAAACTGGCTATCGCTGGAATCCTGAGACACTCTTCATCTTTACAGCCTTGTGAATAAGAGCATTTCAGGGAAGCTCCCATCCTACCTGAGTAGAATGCTCTCCCCGGCTGTCCCCACCTCCTATAACCTCTGAACCAGTACCAGCACTTTATTTAATCTAAATCAATACAAAAAGAAAGCGACTTGATCCTCCTTTTCCTACAGAGCACCGCAACTATGGAATAACCTCATGGACAGAGTGAAATCTACATTCAATCTAAAATCTTTTAAGAGACCTATGCAACATATCTCAATACACAATGCACCTGTCATGGTTGACTATATGTATTACCTGTTATGTGTTACAATTATATATGTGTTTATGTATATATATATATATATAGTATTTCTTTTTTGTAATGTTATATTTTACCTTATTGTAACAATGCAGTGTTTTGTGGGCCCAGGACATACTTGAAACAGAGAGAAATTTCAAGCTATCCATCCTGGTAAAATATTTTATAAATAAATAAATAAATATAAATAAATAAATACCAGGGATAAAAAAGAAAACTTTCTGCATGATACTTATCTATTGCATTCCTGCTGTCCATCACTGCTCTTAAATCACTACGTATGAGACATGTAAATCAATGACATATTTAAAGTTGTGGATACATCCATTTTAGCTTTATAACTGACACATGTGTATGGGGAATTTCCAGAATGCAAACATGTAATTGAATCCATATTGTAATACTTGTCTATAGTTAGGTACAATTTATAAACCACTGCAATTTCCGTGCCACAGATCAGCATTCAAAACTTTATTATCATTTACTATGTAGCTTCAACATTGTAACCTCTTCAAGTTTGAAAGCCTACCGAGTTTGTTATTGTTAAAACCTTTAGACAAATATTTTGCTTTCTATAGTCATAACCTATATGTTATAACCCATTTATCAGCTTTAACATAGTAATGCATGACTCTTACAGATGTTCTGGCTCATTCATGTATTCCCACTCTAATCCCCTTGGTACTTTGTATAAATTTCCTGATTGTGGGCTCACACTTACACCATACATGAGTTCGATTTTCTACTATTAAGATATACTTGACCAACATAAAGATCATCGTAAAACAGAATGCTAGTCCAGTCTGATACTGCTAAATAAATTTGTAGTACTCAAACAGCTTCTCTAAGGATAACTGAGTGAAAGATTAATTTAATCTGTGTCCTGTTAACTATGCAAATTGTTAACCATTAATTGCTTGGTAAATCAAGTATTTCACTGCAGCAGGATTATTTACTTTGCAATAGTAAAGCATTTTTAGATTTTAAAAAATGCATCAAGCGAAAAAGGCAAACAGGGGGAAATGATCAGGATGCAAAGAAGAGGGTAACACATTATATTGATACATTACTTGATTATTCCTCTTTCCACGTAGGTTGTCCTATAAAATCCCACCAGAGAGCCATTGAGTGGTCCTGCAAATTGCAAGGTCAAGAGATAGGTCTCATCAGCTTTCAGTTCTTCACTTGACTCAAAGACTACATACTCATGGAGCGTATACTGGAAACAGTCGCTGACAAGGATTTCTTGGCTGGTGCTGGCTTTTCTCAGCTTCGGCTGTCCAGTTAACTTGGTCTCTCGAATATGGAGCCACAGGTGCTTGGTCACTGCACTTACATTGATATGGATAGTCACACTACCACTGTAGGTGTCTTTATCCAAGAAGGGCTGCAGCTCCAGGTCATAGTGTACAGGGTTGATGTAAGTTGGCAGTCTGAATTCCTTCCACTCTCCAGAGTTGTCATTTTTGGCAGGACAAAACTCCTGGTCTGGTTGAGATGGAGATGATGAAGTTCTTGTAGGCACTGTGGTTACAGAAGGTTTTGTCACCTCACCCTCATTAGTCGCACATGGACTTGGATAAGTAAGACCAACTCCCAATCCTACTGCTAACCCCACCACTACCACTGAACCTACAATAATGGCCACATGTAATCCTCTGATACAGTATTTCTTAGGTTTTGGATTTTCATACATATCTATTCCTTGCATATTCTGTCCAACTATAATAAATTTAGTAGTAGCTGATCAGAGGATGTTACAAATATGGTATCTGCTGAGGACCATAAACTGATCACACTAGTATTTTTACTGTGCACAGGCACAGCAAGTGATCGGAGCAGCATACACACCACACCAATTGATGTTGTGAAGCAATCTGGAAAGAAACTGCATTCTATAATACACTTTTCGCAGTCTCCCCCTCCTTCTCTTCTCCCTCCCCCTCCTTTCACAAGACTCAGTGCAACTGGAAATAACTCTGTGTTAATCAGCAATAGCTGATGTTATGATTATTAGGTTCATAGGGCTTTATCAGTAACTTTAGATAACATACAGCAAAAGTGATAATTTCCAATTTGGTAAAAACTGTTTTATAATCCATGAACTCTGCTCTTCTCATTTCCAAAGAGCTGCGGTGAATCCTTAATCATTGTTAATGTGATCCACAGAGTGAAAAGTAACAACAAAGTATTTCAATATTTAAAATTAGTTTCAAAATGTTAACAGGTATTTAGGAAATTTTCCCTGGACAAACAATTCCTCAATTAGTTGAATTCTTGGCTTATTAGTGCTTTGTTTTGAAAAGGACTTGTTATTCCTGACTGTGTGTTTCTGGAAAAAAAAGATTCACTCGTGCCCCCTTGTTAGTTTAACTTTTTCAACTGTAACAGTGGGATATGCAACTCTCAACAATCTCGGCCAGCTCACACATAGGTTTCAAAAAGTTTTTTCATCTGTTAACAGTGTATGTTTGAAAATTAACTTGGATGGGTGATAACCCTATTGATGTCAGTTTTATGTTGATTTTGACTAAAATAAAATCGCAGCAACCCACAGATTGTTTCTTAAATGCTTTATTTTTTTAAAAATGTTTTTATTCTTTATTTTTCGTGCAAGTATAAATGACAAACAGATGCGTTGAGCCACAACAGCCTTGCTGCACTACTTAATAACTAGTAAAATGAATATAGGACGTCACGGAGGTACAATTTGCACATCATTAGTTATGTAGGGCTGATAGGTTATAACGAGGTATGACACTAGTAAGAAAAAGGGAGAGTGGGGTTCACTCATCTATGTGGGGTTCACAGCTCTCTAGGTATCGTATTGTGAGGCCAAAAATGTATGGAGGCCTGGATCGTGTTGGTTAGGTGCTGTCTGTAGGTGCGAATTAGTCGTGGTAGGGACTTGGTGCTGCGAGTCGTTGAGGGGTCATGTGAGTTGGCGAAATCCGTGGTATGTAGGGGTGCTAGTCGGGCTTTACCAGGGTCCCATCAGGTTTGTCATGCTGTTGTCTAGGTATTGTTGCACTATGTATTTTAGACTAGGTCAGGAAATTAGTTATAGTCGTATAGTGAGCTATTAGGAGCTTGAGTGAGTTGTACCACCTGTCTGGGCCGGTACAGTGCCGTCTCTAGGCTGACAACTCTATTTCTTGTTGAGGCGGGTTGGAGGGGTGAGCTCCTATGCTGGATATGCCCTTGTGTCCCTTGGGCTATGAGGGGGGCCCTTAACTGCTCCGGAGCTCTGGGTGGTGCAGCGAGGGTGTGCTGTCTCTATTGCCAGTAGTCCATAGGGTGTGTATCGCTATATAACATGTAGGTGTCAATTCAACAAGTAGAACCAAACAGGGTAAGGCATAACAAGAAAAGTAATGCATATAGTCATAACAGTGTTCGCTGGTATTATGTTGTTTGTGGCCCATGATAGTGGGCTCAGGTCGGTACTGCATTGCGTGTGGTCTGTGGTAGGAGGTTAGTCAGTAGTGTACAGTCCGAGTTATGTTGGGTGAGTCCTAGTGCATCTTTTGGGCCTTTGGCCCTGTAATGCAGTCCATCTTTTGTGACCCAGAGCTTTCTGGTGTCACCCACTTGTAGGCGATTCCTGCGGCCTGGAAGGGCTTGGTTACTGATTGCATGTCCTTGCGCCACATTAGCGTAGCCCTGCTTAAGTCCTTGAAGAAGGATAATTTGCACTTTTCAAAGTCATAGGGTGTTTTTCACTGCAAAACTTTCAGTAATCCCAGTTTGTCAGACATTTTTTGACACTGCAGTATGAGGTCACGTGTGGCTGTGCTTGATTTAGAGATCCTGTAGACCTATGTCAAATCTTAAGGTTTTGGCCAGTCTCGTAGGTAACACTACTGCCGCGAGACGCCTTATAAAGTGAGGTAACTCCTCTAATGGCATCGATTCTGCAACCCCTCTTGATGTTTTTGCATCGGCCTCTGTCATCTAGTAGGGTCACGTGCCTGGTCATATTTGCCTGTGTGACCTGTAGTTGTTGTACACTCTCTTGGTCTGTGTGGAGGTCCTGTCTCAGGATAGTTACTTTGTCTTCCGTTGGCTGCATTCTTGCTGTCACTGCCTGTACTTTTGTTGTGAGTGTCGCTAAGTCTGCTTCCCACATCTGTCTGAGATTAGTTTGTAGGCCTGCTAGCATCACCTGGATGTCGCTTTTAGAGGCCGGGGCGCAGTTCTGCTTGACCCGCGGGAGTCTTTGAGATTGGGGGCTCAGCGGGGGGCTGTCAAGTAGGTCTCCTTTATCTGAGGGTGTTAGTGAAGCCACTCGGAGGGTCAATTTCCGTGCAGGGTTGGGAGTTAGGAGCATCTGGCCTATGTCCCTCTGGGACTTCGGGGTGAGTGAGGGCGGTCTTTGTGTTTTGCGGCCCATCTCACCTTCGTGTTGGGAACCGGGTATCCAGTCCTCCAGATCGCAATTGATCCACGGCCAGAGCCCTCTGGCTAGGTCCTGCTGACACCGGCTCACACGGTAGGCCTCGTGTGTTGGAGCCCGAGGGTGAAAATAACGGCATCTGTTGTCGCCTACGGGTGTGCTGAGACAGACAGTGTGTTGGGCTGCCCAGGATTCAGCAGGATGGTAGAGTTTTCCCGCAGATTAGGGCGAATATTTACAGAGCTCAGAGCAATGGCATCTGTCTCCTTGCAATGTCAGGCCCCGCCCCCCTTAAAAGCTTTTAGTACGTTCATAATAAACATTTGTATATCCTTTTATTCCAAAATAGCAACTGTTTGTCTTAAACAAACTGGGAATTGTTGAGAACTGACAAGAGAATGTAAAATAAAATTACCAAACTGTAAAACTAGCTAATATCAATGTCAATGGTACTCCTACTTCAATATCAATGGTACTCCTACTTCAGAGGCTAACTTCAGTGACCCTGTGCTGGAGACTTCCGGCGAAGAAAGAGCTGTTAAGCCTGGTTTTTGAACGCCTCATGCTTCTGGCCCAGGGTATTTCTGACTCATTTTCTCATGCAAGAAATCCACTTTAAAGACCTATCATAGGATTTGAGAAGTTTTTCATTTGTGGACTTTAGATAAACCAAGATCATTCTAGCATCCTTCAAGAGACAATATCTTGGAATTCCTCGAGTAAAGCCTAAACAAGATTTAGCCACAACCCATTAAGGGTCCAAGTCTCTGCTATTTTGGCACATACAAATGAAAGATGGGCTTTGGATTCTATGGTAGAACGGTTTCTATAGGAAACTTTGAAGATTGGTGCCTAATGGCCATAACATAGGCAAGAATGGCTTCAAAACTATAGGCACTCTCCTGCAACACCCCCTTTTACAGTGGGTTTCCCAGACAGAGTAGTCTTGACACATGCAGATACACAGACACACACTGGCACACATGCAGATACACAGAAACACTGATACAAACACTGACACACATACAGACACACACACACAGATAGATACACAGACACACAGACAGACATACAGATGCATAAACAGACACATATGCCACCCTCTTGTTTCTTACCTTTAGGGAGCAGGAGGATGTCTTCCATAGGTTCCAGTCGGCTGCCTGAGGCTGTTGGGAGTTCTCCTCATGGTGCTCTTTGATAGCTAAGAGGAAGTTAGCTGTCACTTCCTCTCAGCGCTGACATCACAATAGGGTCCTGATCAGCACTGCAGATATCACAGGGACCTGGTCGCGCTATTAAAGGACTGTAGCGCTGACTCTGCCCCTGAGGACACATTGCTATTGGGTGGCCCAAACCTTAGCATGTGGGCCATGGTGCAGACGGGTCTTGATGTGCCTCCATTCTTAACATACTTACCGTCATTTTCATTTTCTGGCCACTTCCCACCCCCTTCTTCTTGGTCTTTTAAAAATGACTGACCTCTAGATCTGCAGGGAGGGTGTTTATTAAAATTAGTTTATATGTATTTATTGTCCTGCATGCTGAGTGGAGGAATTTAACCCATTAGTATTGGTACTGTGGGAAATGGCCAAGAATAGAAAATCCCGGTATGAATTTTAAAAAAATTATTTTTTGTCATTCAAAATTTATTGACAAATATGCATAAGCAGATGACATTGTAAAGGTAACAATGAATGAAACAGGACACCGTAATATCATCTGCATTATATGGCAACATGTCAAGCCAATCGTAGGCATATCAAATCAATAATATATCCAACAAACAATAGATGAACCTACAAGAACACATGGAAGGAGATAAGTAGATAGAGAAAAGGGAGATGGAGCAAGACAAGTGGAAAGAAAATAAGAATGATACAAAAAGATGGGTAATGGGACTAGGAGAGTTGCTGTGGAGGGTGCCACATGAAACAAGCACACACATCAGGATGGGGAAACCCATGCTGTGAAAAAGAAGTATAGAGATTTATTCAGAATCGTGGCAGAGTACATTACTCAAAGCAGTTGTAGGATAAGTCAAGTCAGGTCCGGTTGACCCAGAGGACAGCCATTGTGTTCAATAAAACCAGGTGGAGGTATATTTTTTTTAATTGTCTGTAGCAGACAAGATTAATTAATCTATTGAGCGTATTTCCTCAACCAATCAATCAGTTGCATACCATGGGGACCACACTCTGCCACCAAAGCCTCAGCATAAGGCTGTGAGCTGCATTAATGAGATGCAATGGTACAGTTTTATAGTATTTCGAGACTGGTAATAGAAAAGAATGGAGCTGTATAAGGGCACATGGCCACTAGATATGGAATAGCATTCCAAGTTTACTGTTGCACCAACAGCATTCCGGATCCCTTTTCTGCAGAATAAGAAGCTACTTTCTCTGGGGTGCTGTACCAACAGGTGAGCAATTTGTACACAAATTAGAAAAACATAAACATGTTAATAACCTTCTAGACCCTGTTTAAGCAGTTCTAGCCATGCCTTCCAAGGCTGTGACTCACATACCCTACATTAAAAAAACAAATTCATTTTCAATCATATGTTAACTTGTTTTAGAAGTTTTTATCTCCTGCTCTGTAAATTAAACATAAATGAAAGACAGGAGGCTCTGGAAGAGGCCTTCTTTAATAACCTT